ACATAGTTTTTGTGCAGTTGTGCGTTCGACGAGGGTCCAGCTCGACGCAGGTCCTTTGCTTTCTCCTCTTTTCATCCGTTCACCTTTTCTCTCTCCTCACGTTTGTCTCTCTCTCTCCTTCCCTCCGTCTTCTGTCCGTCCTCAGGAGCCCGTCTTCTCCTCCACTTTCTCTCCCACTGTTTCGCTCGTCCAAAAGGAGCAGGTAAGGACGATCCCGGCACGGCCCAGAGCGAGCGCCACTCATTCACACTAATACATCTGTGTTTGTGTTCATTTTTTAATTCACTTTTTGCACGTTTCTATTTAACACGTAACAAAAAAAAAAGGACACGTTGGATTAAAAGGTCGGTGCAGGAAGAGGTGACAAAACCCGAAACGTCTTATTTTGGCTCCGAGTATAACAAAATAACAACTACTTCTCAGTAAATTCTCATGTAATCAGTGTTGGGGAGTAACAGATTACATGTACCGGAGTTAGGTAATCAGAGTACAAATGATGAGTAACTGTATTCAGTTACAGTTACTGTTTCAGTGAGTGGTAATTGGATTACAGTTACTTTGTTGAAATAAATGGATTACACAGAGGGATTTTACTGTTTTCACATTTTGGGCTAAATCCCCTTTTTTTTTTTTTTTGAAATTGGAAATTCCACTCATTGCCGGAAAGTAAACCAGGTCTAAACCAGATCTAAACCAGGTCTAAACCAGGTCTCAAAACACATCTAAAACAGGTCTAAACCAGGACTAAAACCGGGTCTAAAAATTAGATCTAAACCAGGTCTAAAATAGGTCTAAAACCAGAAGTAAAACAGGCCTAAAACAGGATTTAACAGGACTAAAACCAGGAAAAACTAAAACCAGGTCTCTAAACCAGGTCCAAACCAAGTCTAAAACCAGGTCTAAACTAGACCTAAACCAGGACTAAAACCAGGTCTAAACTAGATCTAAACCAGGTCTAAATCAGGTCTAAAATAAGTCTAAAACCAGAAGTAAAACAGGACTAAAACAGGATTTAACAGGACTAAACCAGGACTAAAACTAGGTCTAAACCAGGTCCAAACCAAGTCTAAAACCAGGTCTAAACTAGACCTAAACCAGGACTAAAACCAGGTCTAAACTAAAATCTAAATCAGGTCTAAAAGTCTAAGTCTAAAACCAGAAGTAAAACAGGACTAAAACAGGATTTAACAGGACTAAACCAGGACTAAAACTAGGTCTAAACCAGGTCCAAACCAAGTCTAAAACCAGGTCTAAACTAGACCTAAACCAGGTCCAAACCAAGTCTAAAACCAGGTCTAAAACAGGACCTAAACCAGGTCCAAACCAAGTCTAAAACCAGGTCTAAACTAGACCTAAACCAGGACTAAAACCAGGTCTAAACTAGATCTAAAACCAGGACTAAAACAGGATTTAACAGGATTTAACAGGACTAAATCCTGCTGTGTGGACGTGTCTCTTCTTCTTCTATCAATAATATTTTTAATTTGGTTCAGTAAAAGTCTGGACTTTTTATTTCTTTTATCAGACAAAACATCTTATCCTGGTCTTTGCTTCTCTACAGCAAATCAAGTAATCCAAAGTATTCAGATTACATTACTCACTTTAAGTAATTTAATGGATTACGTTACAAACTACATTTTGGTGTATGTAATCTGTAATCTGTACATTTTAAAAGTCACCTTCCCAACACTATAAATAAGGAAATATTTCACCTGCACTCGACTCAAGTTACCTGTTAGGATAATTACCTGTTATTGTAGTTTTACCGCAATCAAGTGTCAATTTCTGAAGAAAGGTTGAAAAATTTGTGCTGTCAAGAGATTAAAAAAATTGAGATCTTAATTAATTAATCTAAAAATTGCTGAGAAAAGCCTTCAACTTGAGGTATTTTCATTTAAATTCATTATTACATTATTGTGGCAAATGAAAAAACTGATATAGAACAAAAAAAAAGTGCCTTTATAAAGTCATTTATTGATGCAGACATTTACATTCCGCTGTGTTCTTTTGTCAAACTCTAAAGAATTAGAAAAAACAAATAAGCAAACAGATACTTCAAATACTTTAAGTTCAGTTTTAAGTTAAAGTTCAGTTTGTGGACAGCAGATCGAGGCTGAAAACATTAAATATGTTACGTTAAATATCACTGACGTCTTTCTCGATAAACTTAAATCTGAAAATCTGACGAGTTTGGCAAATAATTATTGGGAAAATTTGTGTTAACGTTTTGGAAACTAGAAACCCGACTAATCTGTGATTCATGGAACAAACCGGGACGAGACTAGAACTAAACCAGGACTAAACAAGTATTTAACAAGTACTAAAGAAGCAGGACTGAACCGAGACTAAATCAGGACTAATCCAGGACTAAACAAGGTCTAAACCACCACTAAACCAAGACTGAACTGAGACTAAATCAGTACTGAACCAGGATTAAACCAGGACTAAACAAATATTTAACAAGTACTAAACCAGGACTGAACCAAGACTAAACAAGGACTAATGCAGGACCAAACTAGAAGTGAACCAGGACTGAATTAGGACTAAACCAGGACTAAACAAGGTCAGAACCTGGACTAAACCAAGACTGAACCAAGACTAAACAAGGACTAACGCAGAACCAAACCAAGAGTGAACCGGGACTAAACCAGGACTGAACTAGGACCTAACTTGTGCTGGACCAGGATTAGATGAGAACTTAACCAGGACTAAACAGGGCTAAATCATGTCTGAATCAGGACTAAACCAGGACTAAACTAGGACTAAACAAGGTCAGAACCGAGACAAAACCAGGACTGAACCAGTACTTATCCAGGACTAAACGAGGCCAGATCTAGGACTAATCCAGGACTAAACAAGGACTAACATAGGACCAAACCAGGACTAAACCAGGACTAAATTAGGACTAAACAAGGTCAGAACCGGGACTGAACCTGAACTGATTCATGACTGAATCAGGACTGAACCAAGACTAAACCAGGAATGAATTAGGACTAAACCAGGACTAAACATGCTGAACCAGGTTTAAACCAGGTTTAAGATAGGACTAAACCAGGACAGAACCAGGACCTAACTGAACCAGGATTAAATGAGAACTAAATCATGTCTGAACCAGGACTAAACAAGGACTAATGCAGAAACCAAACCAGGAGTGAACCAGGACTGAATTAGGACTAAACCAAGACTAAACTAGGACTAAACAAGGTCAGAACCGGGACTAAACCAGAACTGAACCAGTACTTAACCAGGACTGAACCAGGCCAAAACCTGAACTAATCCAGGACTGAACCAAGACTAAACCAGGAATGATTTAGGACTAAACCAGGACTAAACATGCTGAACCAGGTTTAAACCAGGACTAAACGTTGCTAAATCCTGTCTGAATCAGGACTAAACTAGGACTAAACCAGGACTGAAACCAAGACTCAACAAGGACTAATGCAGGACCAAACTGGGAGTAAACCAGGACTAAATCAGGACTAAACTAGGACTAAACAAGGTCAGAACCGGAACTAAACCAGGACTAAACAAGGACTAAAACATGCTGAACCAGGATTAAACCAGGACTAAACCAGGACAGAACCAAGACTAAACAAGGACTAACACAGGACTAAACCAGGACTGAATTAGGACTAAACCAGAACTAATCCAGCACTGAACCAGGACTGAACCGGAACTTAATCATGACTAAACCAGGACTGAATTAGGACTAAACCAGAACTAAACATGCTGAACCAGGACTAAACCAGGTCTAAACCAGGACAGAACCAGGACAGAACCAGGAACCTAACTAGTGCTAAACCAGGATTAAATGAGAACTAAACCAGGACTAAACAGGGCTAAATCATGTCTGAATCAGGACTAAACCAGGACTAAACTAGGACTAAACAAGGTCAGAACCGAGACAAAACCAGGACTGAACCAGTACTTATCCAGGACTAAACGAGGCCAGATCTAGGACTAATCCAGGACTAAACAAGGACTAACATAGGACCAAACCAGGACTAAACCAGGACTGAATTAGGACTAAACCAGGACTGAATTAGGACTAAACAAGGTCAGAACCGGGACTGAACCTGAACTGATTCATGACTGAATCAGGATTGAACCAAGACTAAACCAGGAATGAATTAGGACTAAACCAGGACTAAACATGCTGAACCAGGTTTAAACCAGGTTTAAGATAGGACTAAACCAGGACAGAACCAGGACCTAACTGAACCAGGATTAAATGAGAACTAAATCATGTCTGAACCAGGACTAAACAAGGACTAATGCAGAAACCAAACCAGGAGTGAACCAGGACAAAACCAGGACTGATTTGGACTAAACCAGGACTAAACATGCTGAACCAGATTTAAACCAGGACTGAAACCAAGATTCAACAAGGACTAATGCACTGGGACCAAACCAGGACTAAACAAGGACTAAAACATGCTGAACCAGGATTAAACCAGGTCTAAAATAGGACTAAACCAGGACGGAACCAAGACTGAACCAAGACTAAACAAGGACTAACACAGGACTAAACCAGGACTGAATTAGGACTAAACCAGGACTAAACTGGAATTAAACAAGGTCAGAACTGGAACTAATCCAGCACTGAACCAGGACTGAACCGGAACTCAATCATGACTAAACCAGGACTGAATTAGGACTAAACCAGAACTAAACATGCTGAACCAGGACTAAACCAGGTCTAAGATAGGACTAAACCAGGACAGAACCAGGACCTGACTAGTGCTAAACCAGGATTAAATGAGAACTAAACCAGGACTAAACAGGGCTAAATCATGTCTGAACCAAGACTAAACCAGAACTAAACCAGGACTAAACCAACATAGACTGACACATGTTTTATAGAAGATTTTGGATTAAAAGTTTGAGTAAAAAAACTATAATAATATAAAAAAAATACAGCCAAGACGATCAGATTTCCAAAATATTGTGTAGATTTCTTTTTTTTTTCATATGTTTTGTGGGGGTTTGTTTTTGTGCAGAAAACGGGGGAGGAGATCGAAGCCCAGATGACGATCGAGGAGAGAAAACAGCTGATCTCGACGCGAGAAGACGCCTGGAAAAGCAAAGGACGAGGAGCGGCCAACGACTCGTCTCAGTACACCGTGGCCGCGCGCATGGTCAAGAAAGGTCAGAGCGAAAAAGCCTCAGAAACGTGAGAGAAAAAGAAGGAAAAATGCTCCGATAAATAAACAACAGACCAATACAAATCCAATCTTTACCTCGCAGAAAAAGCAGTCACATTCTCAACTTGTAATTAACCAACCGATGTGTTATTTATAAGAGAAGAAAAGGATGGTTTTGAGTCACAGCTGGTGGAAATGTGGGAAAATACAAACATCTGTACGACACAAAGCTCAATGAAATTAAATTCTCGGAGGGAGATCGCGGACATTTTAGGCTCGGACGAAAATGAGTGTAGAAAAGTGTGGTCTGCTCTCTGTGACTAGTTTGCAAAAGCCAAAAGTAGGGACGTCCCGATCACATTTTTTTGCCCCCGAGTCCGAGTCATTTGATTTTGAGTATCTGCCGATACCGAGTCCCGACCCGATACTTCAATAAAACATTATCAAATGAACTAAGAGCAAAGAACGAGATCCAGGATGTGTGCGGAGATCAGATTGTGTTGATTTCATGTGTCGTATTTGGGCTGAACTTGTGAAAAATTTAATGTCCAAAACTTTAATTTTATTAACGTTTCTAACCGTGAATCATCATTGTTGAAAATCTTGACTTTTCACAGTCTGGTCTTGGAATGTGTAACTTAGACCAGAATCAGATCAGACCTGAGACTCGACTCTGCACAGTCTACACTTTGTATATTTGATATTATAATTTTGCATGTGCATTATATTTGAAACATTTAGGCTCATCTATGAAATCCAAATAATACAAAATCTTACCAAATAAAAACGAGATGACAGAAGCCCCGCAGCGCCTCTCCCCCGGCCGCCCCCACCCCCCCAGCACCAACACCACATCTACAAACCCACTGCGGAGCAACACCGCAAACAGGACTGTGCACCACAACATCAGTCCCACAGCTCAATAGTTTCAGCTGACGTCATTGTTATTAAAAGCCCGCGTTGCTGCTGGGAAATATTTTGGTCGGAGGCAAGAAACACGATAGCGTCAAACACAGTGCGTAAATAATGGTAAATTCCTGCTGCATTATCGGATGCACAAATAGAAGCACGGAAGAAGGAAAATGTCTTTTTCGTATTCTGAGTGAAAAGAACCGCTAACGGTGAATTAAACGACTTTCAAACATTCGCAGAGCAAACGTAGAAGATCCTAACAAACCGTGGACTCCAACAAGTTCAACAACACATCGAGACTCTTGGAGGTTTTCATCTTTTCTGCTGTGAATGGCCCAGGAGTTTCCACCAAGTCATTGTGGATATCGCCCAAGTGAATATTTGTCCAGGTAGTTGGAGATTCTGACCAGAAATTTGGTTTGGTCCAACCTTTTGTCGGGGTTGAAAAGGTGATTTGTCGTCCGTCGATGCTTATGACCAATTTCTGGTCAAATGGTCTTGGGTCCTCTGCCGTTAGAGTGGATAAATAACCAGGATCAATACCCTTTACGTGTTTTCTCACTCCGTCCGTCATGTTGAATTAGTGTTTCTTGCCGCTGAACAAAATAATTCCCAGCATGCAACGCGCGCTTTTGTCAACAATGAAACTCGCCTATAGACGCTTCATGCCGCTTTTTCCACCCTCACTGCCAAAAGCACCAACTCCGCTGCACAACAAACAAACAAACATCACCGTGCGATGACGTCATCGGCCGCACAGGTGTGAACACGGGCCACAGAACCACAGCACCTGAGCACGACACGACCCAAAGTCCCAGCACGAGTGCACCTGCTGTACCTGCAGTCTGGTCCCGGTTACGTCTCGGTCTGGTCCCGCTCTCAGTCCCGCTCTGGTCCTGTTCTGGTCCCGCTCTGGTCTCAGTCTCAATCTGGTCCCGCCCTGGTCCTGCTCTGGTCCCACTCTGGTCTTGCTCTGGTCTCGCTCTGGTCTCAGTCTCAGTCTGGTCCCACCCTGGTCCCGCCCTGGTCTCAGTCTGGTCCCACCCTGGTCCCGCCCTGGTCCCACTCTGGTCCCACTCTGGTCTCAGTCTCAGTCTGGTCCCGCTCTGGTCCCGCTCTGGTCTCGCTCTGGTCTCAGTCTGGTCCCGCTCTGGTCCCACTCTGGTCCCGCTCTGGTCCTGTTCTGGTCCCGCTCTGGTCTCAGTCTCAGTCTGGTCCTGCCCTGGTCCTGCTCTGGTCCCACTCTGGTCTCGCTCTGGTCTGCTCTGGTCTCAGTCTGGTCTCAGTCTCAGTCTGGTCCCGCCCTGGTCCCACTCTGGTCCCGCTCTGGTCCTGTTCTGGTCCCGCTCTGGTCTCAGTCTCAGTCTGGTCCCGCCCTGGTCCCACTCTGGTCCCGCCCTGGTCCTGCTCTGGTCCCACTCTGGTCTCGCTCTGGTCTCACTCTGGTCTCAGTCTCAGTCTGGTCCCACCCTGGTCCCGCCCTGGTCCCACTCTGGTCCACTCTGGTCTCAGTCTCAGTCTGGTCCCGCTCTGGTCTCGCTCTGGTCTCAGTCTGGTCTCAGTCTCAGTCTGGTCCCGCCCTGGTCCCACTCTGGTCCCGCTCTGGTCCGTTCTGGTCCCGCTCTGTCTCAGTCCAGTCTGGTCCCGCCCTGGTCCCACTCTGGTCCCACCCTGGTCCTGCTCTGGTCCCACTCTGGTCTCGCTCTGGTCTCGCTCTGGTCTCAGTCTCAGTCTGGTCCCACCCTGGTCCCGCCCTGGTCCCACTCTGGTCCCACTCTGGTCTCAGTCTCAGTCTGGTCCCGCTCTGGTCTCGCTCTGGTCTCAGTCTGGTCTCAGTCTAAGTCTGGTCCCGCCCTGGTCCCCCTCTGGTCTCAGTCTCAGTCTGGTCCGCTCTGGTCCCCCTCTGGTCTCAGTCTGGTCTCAGTCTCAGTCTGGTCCCGCTCTGGTCTCAGTCTCGGTCTGGTCCATTTCTGGTCTCAGTCTCAGTCTGGTCCCCCTCTGGTCTCGCTCTGGTCCCGCTCTGGTCTCAGTCTCGGTCTGGTCCATTTCTGGTCTCGGTCTCAGTCCTGCTCTGGTCCCGGACCTGGATCAGTCCTGGTTCAGTTCGGCCTCGCAGTCACAGAAGTCACATAAACAGGAAACGGCCGTTATCCGTTTTTTCCATTCTTCATTTAAACGCAAAATTGAAAACTGAAAAAAACGAATCATTATCTGTTTTTTCATTTTGGTTTTGGAGACAAATAATGAAGAAAACAGTTGTTTTTTCATTTTCTTATTTTTGGTTTTATATTGAAAAACAAATGAACGAACGATACACGGGTTGAGGTGGATTCGGGGGATTTATTTAAAATGAGTTCATATTTGGAGCTGTTGAGATGTAGGAAGTTTTATCTGAATCTTAAATATAATGATTTTAAGTGTGTTTTAGTAAAACGAGTGGTCCAATTTGTCATAGGCGCTTTAAGTAACTGTAGCAGAATATAGTTACTCAAAAAATAATCTGAAAACCAAACATGAAACATCATTTTAAATGGTTAAAATCTCTGAAAAGTCAATGTTGCATAATGGATCGATGTACGTAAGTGTATTTTCCTCGTTGTTTATAATATTTGTACTAATAAATTGTATGTTCTGTGTGTTCAGGTCTGGCCGCCTCCTCCTCCGTCATCAGCCCCATTCTGTCTCCTGTTTCCACCAAACTCAAGAGCAGCAGCAGCGTCACGAAGCCACAAGAAGGTACAGAAAACGACACACTTTTCAACTCTATCACTCTACGTTCTCAGCAGTTTTGAATCTTTATTTTGTTGTTATTATTTGCAGAGATCGAAGCCAGACCTGACATGGAATCAGACAAGAAACTGGACAAGCTGGAGAGTTTCTTAGGAAAAATAAACAACAAAGGTACAACTCAATTTTCTCTGTAAACAACAAATTATCCTTCAGTTTTCTCTCAGTGTGAAACTATGAACTGAGTCTTGATTTAAACGTACATTGGAAATCTCTTCTTAACATCTATCAAATACAATAGATCTTTTTCACAACGGCCGGAAATGTCGCGCTGTAGGTTTGTGGAACGTCCGGTTAAAGGTTGTATAGAGGATTTTCCAAGGAACGAGAAATCCAGCGACTGTTTGTCCTTTTTCAAATGTTGCGCATGCGTGAAACCACCGCCCCTCCCCTACAGCTCCTACGTAGAAACACCTCCTCCCGCCTCCTCCTTACTGCCAGAAACAGGTTTGTTTACAGCCGGTGCGCTGCCATGACTTGTAAACAACTAACTACAGTGTTGGTTAGGCAAGACGGAGAAGTGAGGAGCGGGGGAGCGGGTGTGCGGACATTTCGTGCGCCGACAAGAAGTGAGAAGCAGGGAGAAGAGCGGAGCAGAGGAGAGAGGAGAGAGGAGAGGAGAGGAGAGAGAGAGGAGAGGAGAGAGGAGAGGGAGCGGAGATTTCGTGCCCGGAGAAGTGAGGAGCAGGGGGAAGAGTGGATCGGGCAGCGGGGAGAGGAGCAGGAAAGGGGTGCAGAGAAGGGTGCGCGGAGATTCCGTGCGAATGAACTAGCTACAACACGCAGCAGCAAGCGGACTCTTTCTTTGCCTTGAAAATTACGTTTTCAGACATAGGATATCGCTTTCGTGTCCTGAAAAACGTTTGTGTAGCTCTTGGAAATAAAGTACGTTTTCATAATAAGCAGAAGTTTCCTGTCCAGGAGTAATTTGTGGACCAGTGCGTCAGTCTTTAGACCCTGCGTCTGCTTCAGTCGCGCCATCGCTGGAATGANGTGGGTAAGCTCCTGCTCTCTGGGCTCTGGTCCTGAGCCGGTCGGGTTTGGCATGGGGCCGTGCGGCTCGTTCACTTGGTGTGGCTCAGTGTGGCTCAGTTTGGGGCTTTTACCGGTGACTGGCTGGACTTTTGCTTTTGGCTCTTTTTCTCTCTCTTTGCACATGTTTAGACTCTTGAAGGTTTAATTATAAAGTTTTGTAGCTGCACTGCTGAAATAACCTCACCTAACACAGGACGGGCTGACGGCTGCTCTCTCTGCTGCTCATAGTGTTTCTGATTCTTTTGACAAATAATAATTACCGTATTTTCTGGAGTATAAGTCGCACCAACCAAAAAATGCGCAATGAAGAAGAAAAAAACACATATAAGGCTACGTTCAGACTGCAGGGCTTAAAGCTCAATTCCGATTTTTTTTTTGTGAAATCCGATGTTTTTTCGAGGTCGTTCACATTTCCAATTAAATGTGACTTTTTATGTGACTCCAGTGTGAACGTTAAACGGCCCGAAAGTGTCCCGCATGTGCACTGGAGACACGACGACGTCAACCGCAGCGAGCGTCTCTGTGTTTACAGAAGTTGTCCAAACATGGACGCAGCATCGAGCACCTGGAGATTTTAAAGTTCCTCTCGTACCGGAGCCAGAACATGAACAACTTACTTGTTTTAAGGAGGAGATTGAGAAGGAGAAGGACGAGGTTTTTGGCCGTGGTGTTTTGTGGGACAGCGGCAGCGACGTCCGTTGAAAGGAATGTGTGGATGTGGAGACGGTGATGTGCTTCGCTTCAGTGACACAGAGTTCATTAACAATTTTCGCCGACTTCAGCGCAGAATAGTGACATTTGTGGCTTGTTGATAACGTGTAGGTGGATGAATGCACTTTGGCCGTTCACACTGAAGTCGCACGTCAAAAGATCGGATATGTATCAGTTTCAGGAGCACATATCCAAGTGTCCTGGGTCACATTTGAAAAAATCTGATCTGTGTGGTTCAGACTGTCATTAAAAGATCAGATACAGGAGCATAGAGGCCAAAAAATCGGATTTGGGTCACTTCAGGCTGCAGTCTGAACGTCAGCCTAAGTCGCACTTTTGGGGGAAATGTGTTTTGTAAAATCAAAGACCAGGAACCGAAATTTCATCTTGAAAGACAAGTTCTAGTAAAAACAATAGAACAGAGAACAACAGACTGAACAGGACAAAACACAAACAAAGCAATGTGGTCTCCTCCATTCAGTGCAGTGAACGCTACACTGGAGAAAACTAAACAGCCGCTTCACAAGAGGATGAACCAACACAGACGAGAGAGCAACACAGGACCTCAGTCTGCTGTTCATCTCCACTCATTTGAGGACAGTGAGGTACAGATTTTAGCCAGAGAAAAGAACTGGTTTGAGAGGGGAGTGAAAGAAGCCATTTTTGTTAAGAAAGAGAATCCTTGTCTAAACAGAAACGGAGGCCTCAGACTCCATCTATCACCTATTTACACGTCCATCCTCAAACCTAAATCAAAACAAACAAGAGAACAACAGGTGTGGTCAGGTCAGGTCCAGAGGTGTGAAAGCTCCATTATGTCCATGAATTGTTCTGTTAATCAGACCCCACACCCTGTACAGAGCATCCATCCATCCATCCATCCATTTTCTTCCGCTTATCCGGGGCCGGGTTGCGGGGGCAGCAGCCTAAGCAGGGACTCCCAGACTTCCTTCACCCCAGACACGTCCTCCAGCTACTCCGGGGGGACCCCGAGGTGTTCCCAGGCCAGCCGAGAGACATAGTCCCTCCAGCGTGTCCTGGGTCTTCCCCGGGGCCTCCTCCCGGTGGGACATGCTCGGAACACTTCCCAAGGGAGGCGCCCAGGAGGCATCCGGAACAGATGCCCGAGCCTCAACTGGCTCCTCTCGATGTGAAGGAGCAGCGGCTCTACTCCGAGCTCCTCCCGTGTGACTGAGCTCCTCACCCTATCTCTAAGGGAGCGCCCAGCCACCCTGCGGAGGAAACTCATTTCGAGCGCTTGTAGCCGCGATCTCGTCCTTTCGGTCATTACCCAGAGCTCATGACCAGAGGTTAGAGTAGGAACGAAGACTGACCGGTAAATCGAGAGCTTCGCCTTTCGGCTCAGCTCCTCTTCACCACAACGGTCCGATACAGTGACCGCATCACTGCAGACGCTGTACAGATCAATAGGCTAAATGAACAAACAGAAACTGTAAACAAGTGTGTGTGTTAGTTTCAGAGTAGGTTCAGTGTAGTTAGCTCCTCCCTGCAGACAGATATAAGGAAGTGTCCACCAGCGTCTGACCAGAACTGAAGAAGCAGCTTGGATGAGCTGAGAAACGTCTTCAACCAAACTAACTTTTGTCCAGTCGACAAACTGAATTTTCCCCTCATCAAACAGACTAAATAGATGTTAATATGTTAACGTAACATATTAACAGTTATTCAGATTTATTTGATTTATTTCATTCATAAAGCATAAAAAAGACATCGACAGTGTCACAACGTCAGACACACAAGAAATGAATGAAAAGGAGCAGAAAGAAGAAAAAAATCTTATGTTATCTGCCCCCCTTTTCCTTTATAAGATAATTATAGCATAAACAACATAACATAAATTTACCAAACTCACGATCTCACTCCAAATCACTAAATCCATTCAATTCTTCATCGTCAGTGTCACTTCTGCGCCACCTCCGGAGATAAACCATAGATCCATGAGGTTAACAGAGCGCCGCTTCCAGTTAGAATTATTCGGGTCTTTCTGAATCCCGACAGGATGGTTTCGGTGTCACTGAAGTCCAGACTTTGTCCATCCATCCAGTGACTTCAGGAAAGTTTCACGGTGCATCCTCCCGGTTGCCGTGAAGCTGTGTTCTCCATGTCCACTTTCCATCAGTCAATCACAAGTTTCTCTCTCACTCCAAACTTTTCTTTCTGCTGCTCGATTACTGTTTTCGGCTGAGTATTTCACTATTTGCAGCGAGACATGCGCAGTAGAGAGCGAAGTGACAGTGGCACAGGAGTAATAGTTGTACTAGATACTGACACACAACCCAAGAGCCTCTCGCGGCCGTCAGTCTGAAAATTTTAATATATAAGTCGGACCGAAGTTGTCACAGGAAACACAAAACCATGAAAAAAGTGCGACTTATTTTTGGACACTCAAACACCACTTTTCCATCAGTGTTCTGCAGTTTTTCCACTCAGAAACAACACTCATGAAACGTTCTTAGAAATAAATCTGTACTTAAGACCTTCTTACGAACATTTTTGGCATTCGCAAAACTTTTTCCCCTCCCTCGCTGTTTCCTTTGTGTCTGCGATTCCGATAAATACGATGAAAGCGCCGGCTTGTTTCAATACGTTTCTGACTTAAAGGTTGTATGGAGGATTTTTTTGTTCAGTTTCAAATTGTCAGTGAAAGTTTAAAATACCATTACAGAGACGCAGCAGCCTTGTAATTATGATGATTAAAAAAAAAAAAAAGAATGAAAATCTATCAACTGTGGACGTAGTGAGGCCAAATAAACATCAGCCAATAGAAAACAAGGCTCCCTCATTTTCTATTGGCTGTTTGGTTGTCAATCAAACTCCTTACGTTTCTAATGTAACTGACTCGTCGGCGTGCAGGGATTATGTGGTTTATGCAGCGGTTCTTAGAGGCTTTTTTAAACTGTCGCTTCCTCGCAGTTTGCACAAAGTTTGTCGCGATGTCGGACGAGAATCCACGACCAGTTCGCCGCGAAAGAAAGTCCGTTTTTGAGGTCGCTGAAAGAAAAAGAGAAGGAGAAAAGGAGCGAAGACAAACTGAGGTGATTCTTGGAGATTTCTTCCAGTGATGGCGCAAACGAAGTAGACGAAGGGTCTAAAAACCGACGTGTCGATCGCGAAAATATTTCTAGAAAGGTCACTTCAACAGTAATTCTGTAACGCGCACTGGATGTAAACAAGCGTGATTTCTAGAGTAAAGAGGCGGGAGGAGGAGATGTTTCTACTGAGGCAGCGGTGGAGGAGGAAGGTGGTGTCACACATGCACAACATTTGAAAAAGGACTGTCACTGTATTTCTTTTCCCTTAAAAAATCCTCTATACAACCTTTAAATCTTCCCTCCCTGAGCGTGTTCGTGTGAGTTTAGACACTTGACTTCCTCGGTCGCTCTCTCCCTCGCACTTTCACACGTCATAATGCCAAACCAGAGGTGGGACTTGCAATTATTGACTCGGCCGTCACACAGGACTCTGGAGCTTCGGTCCTGTTCCGAAGACTATTTCTGTACTAACACCACTCTCTGTGCACTGCTCCCTGCACCTCTGCTTACCTGAAGTTGGCCCCGTCAAACGCACAACTGCACAAAAAAACTGTCAAACATTTGTGCTTCGTTTGTGCTGCTTTAGTTTTTGAGATATTAATGATTCTTTTATGGGTCAAATTGGGGTCAGCGGCCTCCAGGAAACTTCAAAATGCTCTAAAACTACACAAAATCAAGTCAATCGTCTGTGTTCGTTTGTGCTTCAGAAAGTTTAATTTGTGCGATTATGATTCTTAAGATATTAACATTTTTCATTTGCGTGAGTATATTTCTAAATTTGTTCATTATTATTTTTGCGAAAATTATATGTAATAATTGTATTCAGAAAAGGTGTGAACTTGCCCTCAAAAATGCACAACATGATGCTTCGGGGGGAAATTTCAAAAGAACTTTAGAAAAGTCTGTATTATTTATAAAATATGAATCAAAAACAAGTAAAAACTGATACCGATTTTTCCACAACCTGAGATCGTTTCTCTTCACTGGTTTTGTGGAGTTTTGTTAAAGCCGCTGCCGTCAGATGAGCGGAAAATCAAAAATAATCATTAATAATTTTATAATCACCTTTGGAGTGTTTACCTGTCATTATGCAGTAACATACACACATATAAACAAAAACATATCCACACATACATACATACATACATACATACATACATACATACATACATACATACATACATACATACATACATACATACATACATACATACATACATACATACATACATACATACATACATACATACATACATACATATACATACATACATACATACATACATACATACATACATACATATATACATACATACATATACATACATACATACATACATACATACATACATACATACATACATACATACATACATACATACATACATACATATATACATACATACATACATACATACATATACATACATACATACATACATACATACATACATACATACATACATACATACATACATATACATACATACATATACATACATACATACATACATACATACATACATACATATATACATACATATACATACATACATACATACATACATGCATCATAGATACCCATTACATATCGTCAATATAAATGTTTATATACATACATGCAGAAACATAATTTTCGTTTATGGTCGTACAAACTAAAAATAATGTTATGATCGTACAAAATAAACAGTAATGAGAATGAAAAATGTGGGGTTTTTTTGTTTTCGTTCATGATTGTACAAAATAAACAATAATGAGAATGAAAAATTTAAGAATTTTAGTTTTCGTTTATGATTGTACAAACTAATAACAGTATTGAAGAAGGCACAAAAGTTTATCGTTTATGATCGTACAAAATAAACAACAACGAGAATGAAAATTTTAGGGATTTTTTATTTTAATTTATGATCGTACAAAATAAGAGAATGAAAATGAAAAATTTTTTCAATGTCGTAAAAATAAACAATAACGAGAATGAAAAATTTAGGGATTTTTTGCTTTTGTTTATGATCGTACAAACTAATAACAGTAATAAAGAAGGCACAAAAGTTTATCATTTATGATCGTACAAAATAAACAATAACAAGAATGAAAATGTAGGGATTTTTTTTGTTTTCGTTTATGGTCATACCAAGATAAAAAGTTAAAAAGTTAAAGAAAAGCATGTGTTTAGTTAATAGTCATGGTTTAGAAGACAGTGGATCTAGTCTTCTAGGTATTTCTGTAAGATTTGAGTCTTATATTGTTTTTTGAAGTGCACCAAGTTCGTACAAGCGCTGATATGATCATGTAAGCTGTTCCATAAGTCTTCTCCACGTCTGCTTTTGAGAGTGGTTCAGGAAATACACTCGCACAAATGTAAACTGTCACAGCACAAAACAAAGCACAAAAGATTGACAACATTTTGAAGATTTCTGGGGACCCCAATTTGACCTAAAAAGAGTCGATTATCCAAAACTAAAGCAACGAAAGCACAAAACACTGACATAGTTTTTGTGCAGTTGTGCGTTCGACGAGGGTCCAGCTCGACGCAGGTCCTTTGCTTTCTCCTCTTTTCATCCGTTCACCTTTTCTCTCTCCTCACGTTTGTCTCTCTCTCCTTCCCTCCGTCTTCTGTCCGTCCTCAGGAGCCCGTCTTCTCCTCCACTTTCTCTCCCACTGTTTCGCTCGTCCAAAAGGAGCAGGTAAGGACGATCCCGGCACGGCCCAGAGCGAGCGCCACTCATTCACACTAATACATCTGTGTTTGTGTTCATTTTTTAATTCACTTTTTGCACGTTTCTATTTAACACGTAACAAAAAAAAAAAAAGGACACGTTGGATTAAAAGGTCGGTGCAGGAAGAGGTGACAAAACCCGAAACGTCTTATTTTGGCTCCGAGTATAACAAAAATAACAACTACTTCTCAGTAAATTCTCATGTAATCAGTGTTGGGGAGTAACAGATTACATGTACTGGAGTTAAGTAATCAGAGTACAAATTATGAGTAACTGTATTCAGTTACAGTTACTGTTTCAGTGAGTGGTAATTGGATTACAGTTACTTTGTTGAAATAAATGGATTATACAGAGGGATTTTACTGTTTTCACATTTTGGGCTAAATCCCTTTTTTTTTCTTTTTTTTTTTTAAATTGGAAATTCCACTCATTGCCGGAAAGTAAAGTAAACCAGGTCTAAAACCAGATCTAAACCAGGTCTAAACCAGGTCTAAAACACATCTAAAACAGGTCTAAACCAGGACTAAAACCGGGTCTAAATTAGATCTAAACCAGGTCTAAAATAGGTCTAAAACCAGAAGTAAAACAGGCCTAAAACAGGATTTAACAGGACTAAACCAGGACTAAAACTAGGTCTAAACCAGGTCCAAACCAAGTCTAAAACCAGGTCTAAACTAGACCTAAACCAGGTCCAAACCAAGTCTAAAACCAGGTCTAAACTAGACCTAAACCAGGACTAAAACCAGGTCTAAACAAGATCTAAACCAGGTCTAAATCAGGTCTAAAATAAGTCTAAAACCAGAAGTAAAACAGGACTAAAACAGGATTTAACAGGACTAAACCAGGACTAAAACTAGGTCTAAACCAGGTCCAAACCAAGTCTAAAACCAGGTCTAAACTAGACCTAAACCAGGTCCAAACCAGGTCTAAACTAGACCTAAAACCAGGTCTAAACCAACTAAACCAGGTCTAAATCAGGTCTAAAATAAGTCTAAAACCAGAAGTAAAACAGGACTAAAACAGGATTTAACAGGACTAAACCAGGACTAAAACTAGGTCTAAACCAGGTCCAAACCAAGTCTAAAACCAGGTCTAAACTAGACCTAAACCAGGACTAAAACCAGGTCTAAACTAGATCTAAACCAGGTCTAAATCAGGTCTAAAATAAGTCTAAAACCAGAAGTAAAACAGGACTAAAACAGGATTTAACAGGACTAAACCAGGACTAAAACTAGGTCTCAACCAGGTCCAAACCAAGTCTAAAACCAGGTCTAAACTAGGACCTAAACCAGACTAAAACCAGACTAAAACCAGGTCTAAACTAGATCTAAACCAGGTCTAAATCAGGTCTAAAATAAGTCTAAAACCAGAAGTAAAACAGGACTAAAACAGGATTTAACAGGACTAAACCAGGACTAAAACTAGGTCTAAACCAGGTCTCCAAAAAACCAGGTCTAAACTAGACCTAAACCAGGTCTAAACCAGGACTAAAACCAGGTCTAAACTAGATCTAAACCAGGTCTAAATCAGGTCTAAAATAGGATTTAACAGGATTTAACAGGACTAAATCCTGCTGTGTGGACGTGTCTCCTCGTCTTCTATCAATAATATTTTTAATTTGGTTCAGTAAAATCTGGGCTTTTCATTTTCTTTTATCAGACAAAACATCTTATCCTGGTCTTTGCTTCTCTACAGCAAATCAAGTAATCCAAAGTATTCAGATTACATTACTCACTTTAAGTAATTTAATGGATTCCGTTACAAACTACATTTTGGTGTGTGTAATCTGTAATCTGTAATCTGTACATTTTAAAAGTCACCTTCCCAACACTATAAATAAGGAAATATTTCACCTGCACTCGACTCAATTTACCTGTTAGGATAATTACCTGTTATTGTAGTTTTACCGCAATCAAGTGTCAATTTCTGAAGAAAGGTTGAAAAATTTGTGCTGTCAAAGAGATTAAAAAAAATTGAGATCTTAATTAATTAATCTAAAAATTGCTGCTGAGAAAAGCCTTCAACGAGGTATTTTCATTTAAATTCATTATTACATTATTGTGGCAAATGAAAAAACTGATATAGAACAAAAAAAAAGTGCCTTTATAAAGTAATTTATTGATGCAGACATTTACATTCCGCTGTGTTCTTTTGTCAAACTCTAAAGAATTAGAAAAAACAAATAGGCAAACAGATACTTCAAATACTTTAAGTTCAGTTTTAAGTTAAAGTTCAGTTTGTGGACAGCAGATCGAGGCTGAAAACATTAAATATGTTACGTTAAATATTACTGACGTCTTTCTCGATAAATTTAAATCTGAAAATCTGACGAGTTTGGCAAATAATTATTGGTGTTAACGTTTTTGGAGACTAGAAACTCGACTAATCTGATGATGAACATGGAACCGGACTAGACTAGAACTGAACTAAACCAGGACTAAAACAAGTATTTAACAAGTACTAAAAGAAGCAGACTGAACCAGGACTAAATCAGGACTAATCCAGGACTAAACAAGGTCTAAACCACCACTAAAACCAAGACTGAAACTGAGACTAAATCAGTACTGAACCAGGATTTTACTAAACCAGGACTAAACAGGAATATTTAACTAAGACTAAAACCAGGACTGAACCAAGACTAAACAAGGACTAATGCAGGACCAAACTAGTAAAGTGAAAACCAGGACTGAATTAGGACTAAAAACCAGGACTTAAACAAGGTCAAACTGGACTAAACCAGGACTAAACAGGACTAACGCAGAAACCCAGAAACCAAGGACTGGAACCAGACTAACCAGGACTAAACTAAACAGGGAAGGACTGAGAAAAACCAGGACTAAACAGGACTCCAGGACTGAATTAGGACTAACCAGGACTAAACTAGGACTAAACAAGGTCAGGACTAAACCAGGACTGAACCAGGACTAACCAGGACCGGGCAGACCAGGACTAAACAAGGACTAGATAGGAAAAAGGACTAACTAATTGTTGAACCAGGACTGAAACCAGGGACTAAACCAGATCAGGACTAACAGGACTAACCAGGACTAACAAGAACAGACTAAACCAGGACTGAAAAGGACTAAACGGGCCAAACTAGGACTAATCCAGGGACTAAATAGGACTAAACCAGGACTAAAAAAGGACTGAACCAACTAGGACTAAACCAAGACTAAACTAGGACTAAACAAGGTAAAATGGAACCGAACCAGAAAACCAGTCTAGAGGATAAAACCAGGACTGAACCAAGACTAAACCAGGACTAAAAGATTAGGACTAAAACCAGAACCAGGACTGAACTTAGGACTAAACCAGGACCAAACCAGAACAAACTAATAACTGGAACCAAAAATCCAGACTAAACCAGGACTAAAACCAGGACTAAACCAGGACTAAACTGGAAACCAAACCAGGACTAAACCAGACTAAACCAGACTAATTACTAGGACTAAAACCTAAAGACTAAACCAGGACAAACCAGGACTAACCAGGACTAAACCAGGTAAACTAAACTAAACCAGGACTAAAACCAACTAGACTGAAGACACCTTAGACTGACACATGTTTTATAGAAGATTTTGGATTAAAAGTTTGAGTAAAAAAACTATAATAATATCAAAAAAAATACAGCCAAGACGATCAGATTTCCAAATATTGTGTAGATTTCTTTTTTTTTTTTTCATATGTTTTGTGGGGGTTTGTTTTTGTGCAGAAAACGGGGGAGGAGATCGAAGCCCAGATGACGATCGAGGAGAGAAAACAGCTGATCTCGACGCGAGAAGACGCCTGGAAAAGCAAAGGACGAGGAGCGGCCAACGACTCGTCTCAGTACACCGTGGCCGCGCGCATGGTCAAGAAAGGTCAGAGCGAAAAAGCCTCAGAAACGTGAGAGAAAAAGAAGGAAAAATGCTCCGATAAATAAACAACAGACCAATACAAATCCAGTCACATTATCAACTTGTAATTAACCAACCGATGTGTTATTTATAAGAGAAGAAAAGGATGGTTTTGAGTCACAGCTGGTGGAAATGTGGGAAAATACAAACATCTGTACGACACAAAGCTCAATGAAATTAAATTCTCGGACATTTTAGGCTCGGACGAAAATGAGTGTAGAAAAGTGTGGTCTGCTCTCTGTGACTAGTTTGCAAAAGCCAAAAGTAGGGACGTCCCGATCACATTTTTTTGCCCCCGAGTCCGAGTCATTTGATTTTGAGTATCTGCCGATACCGAGTCCCGACCCGATACTTCAATAAAACATTATCAAATGAACTAAGAGCAAAGAACGAGATCCAGGATGTGTGCGGAGATCAGATTGTGTTGATTTCATGTGTCGTATTTGGGCTGAACTTGTGAAAAATTTAATGTCCAAAACTTTAATTTTATTAACGTTTCTAACCGTGAATCATCATTGTTGAAAATCTTGACTTTTCACAGTCTGGTCTTGGAATGTGTAACTTAGACCAGAATCAGATCAGACCTGAGACTCGACTCTGCACAGTCTACACTTTGTATATTTGATATTATAATTTTGCATGTGCATTATATTTGAAACATTTAGGCTCATCTATGAAATCCAAATAATACAAAATCTTACCAAATAAAAACGAGATGACAGAAGCCCCGCAGCGCTCTCCCCCGGCCGCCCCCACCCCCCCCCCCACCCCCCCACATCTACAAAACCCACTGCGGAGCAACACCGCAAACAGGACTGTGCACCACAACATCAGTCCCACAGCTCAATAGTTTCAGCTGACGTCATTGTTATTTAAAAGCCCGCGTTGCTGCTGGGAAATATTTTGGTCGGAGGCAAGAAACACGATAGCGTCAAAACACAGTGCGTAACCTCGCGTATTTATCCCGATAATGGTAAATTCCTGCTGCATTTATCGGATGCACAAATAGAAGCACGGAAGAAGGAAAATGTCTTTTTCGTATTCTGAGTGAAAAGAACCGCTAAACGGTGAATTAAACGACTTTCAAACATTCGCAGAGCAAACGTAGAAGATCCCTAACAAACCGTGGACTCCAACAAGTTCAACAACACATCGAGACTCTTGGAGGTTTTCATCTTTTCTGCTGTGAATGGCCCAGGAGTTTCCACCAAGTCATTGTGGATATCGCCCAAGTGAATATTTGTCCAGGTAGTTGGAGATTCTGACCAGAAATTTGGTTTGGTCCAACTTTTGTCGGGGTTGAAAAGGGTGATTTGGCTCCGTCGATGCTTATGACCAATTTCTGGTCAAATGGTCTTGGGTCCTCTGCCGTTCGAGTGGATAAATAACCAGGATCAATACCCTTTACGTGCTTTCTCACTCCGTCCGTCATGTTGAATTAGTGTTTCTTGCCGCTGAACAAAATAATTCCCAGCATGCAACGCGCGCTTTTGTCAACAATGAAACTCGCCTATAGACGCTTCATGCCGCTTTTTCCACCCTCACTGCCAAAAGCACCAACTCCGCTGCACAACAAACAAACAAACATCACCGTGCGATGACGTCATCGGCCGCGACAGGTGTGAACACGGGCCACAGAACCACAGCACCTGAGCACAACACGGCCCAAAAGTCCCAGCACGAGTGCACCTGCTGTACCTGCAGTCTGGTCACCGGTTACGTCTCGGTCTGGTCCGCTCTCAGTCCGCTCTGGTCCGTCTGGTCTGGCTCAGTCTCAGTCCGCTCTGGTCCCAGTGGGTCTGGTCTGGTCTCAGTCTCAGTCTCCGCTCTGGTCCCGCCTGGTCTGGTCTCCAGTCTCAGTCCCGCTCGGTCCCAGTGTTGTCTGGTCTGGTCTCAGTCTCAGTCTCTGGTCCCAGTGGTCTCGTCTGGTCTCCTGTCTCAGTCCCGTCTCTGGTTCTGGTCCGCTCTGGTCTCTGTTCTCAATCTGGTCCTGCCCTGGTCCTGCTCTGGTCCACTCTGGTCTCTGCTCGGGAGTCTCGCTCTGGTCTCAGTCCAGTCTGGTCCCCCTGGTCCCGCCCTGTTCCCACTCTGGTCCCACTCTGGTCTCAGTCTCAAGGTCCTGGTCCCACTCTGGTCTCGGTCCTCTTGGTCCGCTCTGGTCTCGCTCTGGTCTCTGGTCCTGGTCTCAGTCTCAGTGGTCCCGCCCTGGTCCTCTGTTCCCGCTCTGGTCCTGTTCTGGTCCCGCTCTGGTCTCAGTCTCAGTCTGTCCCCACCCTGGTCCCTCTGGTCCCGCTCCTGGTCCCCCTGGTCTCGCTCTGGTCTCACTCTGGTCTCTGAGTCTCAGTCTGGTCCCACCCTGGTCCCGCCCTGGTCCCACTCTGGTCTCTGGTCCAGTCTCAGGGTCCGCTCTGGTCTCGCTCTGGTCTCAGTCTGGTCTCAGTCTGTCTGTCCCGCCCTGGTCCCCTCTGGTCCCGCTCTGGTCTCAGTCTCGGTCTGGTCCATTTCTGGTCTCAGTCTCAGTCTGGTCCCCCTCTGGTCCTCTCTGGTCTCTCTCAGTGGTCCCGCCCTGGTCTGGTCTCTGGTCTCAGTCCCCCGCCTCTGGTCCCCCTGGTCTGGTCTGGTCTCAGGTCTGGTCCGTCTGTCTGGTCTCTGTCTGTCTCAGTCTCAGTCTGGTCCGCCCTGGTCCCTCTGGTCCCTCTGTCTCTGGTCAGTCTCTGGTCTCAGTCTGGTCTGGTCCATCTTCTGGTCTCAGTCTCAGTCTGGTCCCGCTCTGGTCTCGTCTCTGGTCCATCTCGTCTGGTCGGTCTCAGTCTCGGTCTGGTCCAGTCCTGGTCTCGGTCTCAGTCCTGCTCTGTCCCGGACCTGGATCAGTCCTGGTTCAGTTCGGCTCGCAGTCACAGAAGTCACATAAACAGGAAACGGCTGTTATCTGTTTTTTCCATTCTTCATTTAAACACAAAATTGAAAACTGAAAAAACGAATCATTATCTGTTTTTTCATTTTGGTTTTGGAGACAAATAATGAAGAAAACAGTTGTTTTTTCATTTTCTTATTTTGGTTTTATATTGAAAAACAAATGAACGAACGATACACGGGTTGAGGTGGATTCGGGGGGATTTATTTAAAATGAGTTCATATTTGGAGCTGTTGAGATGTAGGAAGTTTTATCTGAATCTTAAATATAATGATTTTAAGTGTGTTTTAGTAAAACGAGTGGTCCAATTTGTCATAGGCGCTTTAAGTAACTGTAGCAGAATATAGTTACTCAAAATATTCTGAAAACCAAACATGAAACATCATTTTAAATGGTTAAAATCTCTGAAAAGTCAATGTTGCATAATGGATCTGCTTTAAAGATGTACGTAAGTGTATTTTCCTCGTTGTTTATAATATTTGTACTAATAAATTGTATGTTTTGTGTGTTCAGGTCTGGCCGCCTCCTCCTCCGTCATCAGCCCCATTCTGTCTCCTGTTTCCACCAAACTCAAGAGCAGCAGCAGTGTCACGAAGCCACATGAAGGTACAGAAAACGACACACTTTTCAACTCTATCACTCTACGTTCTCAGCAGTTTTGAATCTTTATTTTGTTGTTATTATTTGCAGAGATCGAAGCCAGACCAGACATGGAATCAGACAAGAAACTGGACAAGCTGGAGAGTTTCTTAGGAAAAATAAACAACAAAGGTACAACTCAATTTTCTCTGTAAACAACAAATTATCCTTCAGTTTTCTCTCAGTGTGAAACTATGAACTGAGTCTTGATTTAAACGTACATTGGAAATCTCTTCTTAACATCTATCAAATACAATAGATCTTTTTCACAACGGCCGGAAATGTCGCGCTGTAGGTTTGTGGAACGTCCGGTTAAAGGTTGTATAGAGGATTTCCAAGGAACGAGAAATCCAGCGACTGTTTGTCCTTTTTCAAATGTTGCGCATGCGTGAAACCACTGCCCCTCCCCTACAGCTCCTACGTAGAAACACCTCCTCCCGCCTCCTCCTTATTGCCAGAAACAGGTTTGTTTACAGCCGGTGCGCTGCACATGACTTGTAAACAACTAACTACAGTGTTGGTTAGGCAAGACGGAGAAGTGAGGAGCGGGGGAGGGGGTGTGCGGACATTTCGTGCGCGGACGAGAAGTGAGAGCAGGGAGAAGAGGGAGCAGGGAGAGCAGGGAGAGAGAGAGAGAGGAGAGAACGTTTCAGGAAATAGGAAAACGTAGCGGAGTATTTTGCATTGAGCAGCGTCTGTGTCAGTCTCACAGATAACGCAGGCAGTGTCGCTTCATCTATGGCAAATGTTTATGCCCCACACAGTCCAGAGTTGATGAAATTTTTATTATCTTTTTTTTTTGGTCATCATAATTACAAGACTACTGCATCTCTATAATCTATCATTGACAATTTGAAACAAAAAAAAAATCCTCCATACAACCTTTAATGGTTTTCTGTGTCAAAATGTGTGTGTAAATGTGTGTCGCGTTCTTCAGCAGCTTCATAAATCTGCCCCATCACCAAATCTTCAACCAACAAGGTCAAGCTTAAAGGCGAACAACGACTAGTGAACTACTGGGGTTCGCCGCCTATTCCAACATCATTACGACATGTCTCTATTTAGACGTGCCGGTTTTCCAACACTTTCTAGTATTACTATTCCGACACGGCATATGTAGATATATATAGATATATATATATTATATATATATATATATATATATATATTTTAAGACTTGCGACACATCTCTTACTGTTCTTCAATGTTCTTCATCTTAAATATTACCCACAATTGTCCACTGTGTGTGTTGTGTTTTTTTGTGTGACTTGAAAATAATTATCAATAGGGGAGATTAATTAATTACAGTCATATGTAGCGCGTTATGTTTTTTAATCGTGTTAATCTTATTTTTAATCTCTAACTTTACTGTTTCTGTACACGAGTTGCCTTATTATAAAATCTGTTTTTATGTGTTGTTAGGACACAGTCTCGCACTGTGCAGTCCTGCTCCGCTCGTAGCCTAATTTTCATTCCCGTTCTCGCCGCCTCTGCGATAAACCTGCACACGTCTGATCTGAAAACATCGCGACACAGACACAGAACAGACTCACCATCAGCAGAACATCCCCCTGTCACAGAAAGAACATCTATATTCCACTGAGTCGTGTCCTTTAGTAGAAGCTGAACTGCATCAGTGCACAAGAGTGTTTTTATTTTTTTCTTTTCTCTGCTTAGTTTATGCAAATGAGCCATGTGGTTTTAAGTTTTGTTTCTGTAAAACGTAAACACATGTGTCAAAACTCCATTAAACACATTATAATGTCAAAAGGGCTGATGTGGCTCTAGAACAGGGTGTCAAACTCATTTTGGTCCAGGGGCCGTATCCAACCGACTTTGATCCCAAAGGGGCCGGATCAGAAAACTCATGTCATATAAACCCCAAAATAACAATAAGTTCAAATATTTGTGCAGAGAAACACAAATCTATTACAGAAATCTTTTTTAATTGATGAACTCTTTCTTATTATAATATTATGAACAACCTGAAACTTAAAGAAAAATTCAATTTCAACACAATGTTTTAACATGAACTTGTATGCAAACAGGAATAAGTCAGTTTTTCTTGTAAAATCCTGCACTCGGCTCCACTTTTCTCATGTTGGACATTTTTCTGATGAGGGTGTCACGGTCAACAGTCAAAACGATCGTCCTTTAAGAGCGTTTGGAAAGAGACAAGTCTTCATTTGTGCTGCTCTGGTGGGAGGGGCCACGTACAGAGACGCTGGAGACGCTGCTGTGATAAACACCACAGAAAATTAACAATATTTTAATAGAAAATATAATTAAAATATTTTAGTAGAAAATCACCCAAGGGCCACATTAAAGGTCTTGGAGGGCCGAATCTGGCCCCCGAGCCTTATATTTGACACCTGTGCTCTAGAGTGTTTATGGTTTATCTGTTGTAAAGTTGAATTTATTTATGCAGATTAGTAGTAATAAAAATGATGATACTTATTATCTAAAAAACGTTAATGATTAATCGAAAATCGATTCTCCCGACGATCGGTTAATACAGTTTCATCGAATGCCCGTCCCTAATCCTGTCTACCTAGAAAATGTTTAAGACAAAATGCAATTCAGTATTTTTTAGCTCTAATGTTGTTCTTGTTGTGTTGTTTTCGTGCAGTGGCCGGTCTACAGGAGACCACTCTCACCGTGACGGAGAAGGCCGTGAAGGAAGTCATGAAACTGGACGACGAAATCTTCTCCAAATTCTACAAACACGTGGCAGAATTTCCCCGGATCCCGTCGAGAATCGAAATCAGCGATGATTTTGACTCCATCTTCGGTTGTCAAGGGCCAAAGTAAGATTTTATAGAGGACTGATGATAATGTGTATGCAGCGTTTTGTTTGGTCTGTCACCTGCTTGTTTCTATGGAGATGTCATTGCTCTGTCTGGAATGTTCCACAGTGTGACATTAAAAAGATCTACTTTGTATTTACTCAGTTACAGGCAGTGTTGGGAAGGTTACTTTTAAAATGTATTCCCCTACAGTCCTGGTTTAGTCCTGGTTTAGTCCTAGTATAGTCCTAGTTTAGTCCTGGTTTAGTCCTGGTTTAGTCCTGGTTTAGTCCTGGATATGACCTCGCAAAAAAATCAGATTTCACGAATTCAGCATTAAGCCCTGCAGTCTGAACGTAGCCTTAAGGGATGTTCAGACCAGAGCGTCAAAGCGTCCAGTTTCTATGTAAAGTCAATGTGGACGCGCAACTAGAGCGTCCTGCGTTTTTGCGGCGCGTCTTCGGCGTCAGCGTGGCACGAATCTGCCATCGACACAGCGCGTCTTGAGCATTTTGGCGTCGATGCTCTAGACGCGTGTCCAAGGCGTCAGCGTCAAGAAGTTGAAAATGCTGAACTTTTGGCGTCAGGCACGCCACGTCAACCAATCAGGGACGAGTATCCAGAGACGCAGCGACGTAATTATCAGGAAGAAAAACCCGAGAACCAGAACCACAAACATGAGCGGAGCATAAATATATACACCACAATCACAGAGTGGATCGCGAGGACCAGGACCAGACTAGGACTAAACCAGGACTAGACCGAGACTAAACCAGGACTGATCCAGTGTCATTAGCGGAGTATAAATATATATACACTGCAGTCGTCGACCTGATCTCCTCCGCTGATGTTTCATGTCATAAAAACACTAAAGTCTCTCAGTCTGGTCTGACATTGTTTCGGGAAAAGACCTGGACCAGGTTCTTGTTTCCAGGGCAACGGACGCGCGTCAAGTATTTTTCTCCCGTTCGTCCACGGCGTCAAAAACGCGCATCGGGGGCGTCTAAACTCAAATGCAAAGGCTCCAAATAGAGACGTCAAGGCGTTTTTTGACACTTTGGTGTGAACGGCCCTTTAGTCTTGCTCAGTTTCTTGTGATCACTAAAATTAGTAGCTTTAGCATTTTCTTTTCTTTCTTCTCTTTTTGTGAAGGTATCTCAGAGGAAGAAAAACGTTGGAGACCCCTGATCTAAACTATAAACTCTAATTGTGTTTCAGGCTGACGTCGTCCATGGTGCAGCACAAACGCGCCGTCCGACCCTCCAGGAACGTCCAGGCGTCCAAGAACCCGCTGAAGAAGCTGGCGTCCAGAGAAGACATCAGGCTGGAGTACACGGAGCAGAGGCTCAACGTGGGGCAGCTCGAGAGCAAGAGGATCAAGGCCGAGAAGAGTCAGTAACACACACACACACACACACACACACACACACACACACACACACACACACACACACACACACAACACACACACACAATATTGAAATCACAATTATTCAAACCATTATTTTTTTGTTACACAATGCATTTATTCAGCATTTCTCTCTCAAAAAACACTTTGTTATTGATAATTTACGCAACACTTTTAAGTTGAAAATAAATATAGCCTGAAAATATGAACCTTACAGTAGTTTTGAGATGTAAAAGAAACATAAAATGAATAAAATAAACTTTGAACATAAAATAAAAACATAAATGTATCCAAAATAAACTATAAATCCAGCTGTTCTACAATCACTATATTTAAAAAATAAAATAAATATACTTATTTATATTAAAAAATATCCCAAAATAAACTTAAGCTTTAATCGTTTCAACTCGATTATATGAGTTTAAAGATCGTTTTATAGACAAATCGAAATCGCGATGTCTGGAAAGGTTTAATGCCATATGGTTCTATCTCCATGGAGACCAAACCAGACCAAGTAACAGGTCAGATCTGTGGAGAGGCGACCCCGCACACAGTCAGAATGTCTGTTTTTCTTGGTATTTTTGAGCTATAAAATCACCTGTAATTGAATAAATGTAAGATAGAGCTGTTTAATGTCACACTGTGGAACATTTCAGTGCAGACCCTTGGCATATCCATAGAAACAAGCAGGTGACGGACCCTCATTTAAAAAGTTACACACTGCACCTAATCAGAAACCCCGATAATTACTGTATTTTTAGTTCTATAAGTCGCACCAGCCAAAAAATGTGTAAAAAAGAAGAAAAAAAATATGAATCGCATTTTTGGGGGGAAATTTATTTCAACCATATTTCATCTTGAAGGACAAGTTGTAGTAAAAACAATAGAAGAGAGAACAACAGACTGTTAACGTCACATATGAACAGTTCTTCAGATAAACTATAACATAAACAACAGAACAAGTTTAACAAACTCTCCATCTCACTCCAAATCACTAAATCCATTCAATTCTTCTTCATCCTCGGTGTCACTTGTATTTGGAAAACAAAATACGAGTTTTAAAATAACCTTTAATCTTTAACATTTTCTCTTTCATTTTGTCTTCACTACATTGGTTTAGTTTGACCTTTTTTGCACAATCTTGTTTGCCAAAATCTGCACATGTGTAGCTGTTGACGTGGCTTTTCAAGAATCCAGACACTAACTTTTGATGTGCTATGTTTTTCACATTCAAAAGTCACCACTTAAAAGCTGTGGCAGAGAGTGTGTACTGTTGTTGTGTCCTTGGGCAAGACGTTTCACTGGTCTTATATACAGAGTCCATATACGCTGTTGTGTGAATGAGAGAGTGTGTGTGTGTGTGGTTACTTGCATGTTGATTCACAAACACATAAATAAACCACATAAATTGAATGATGTTGTTGTGTGTCCAGCGTCTAAGAGCTCTGAGTACTCGGAGGCGGCTCTGGCCGGTCTGGCCTCTAAAGAAAACTTCAGCAGTGTGAGTCTGAGGAGCGTGACGGCCTCCGAACAAACCAGTAACAACAGCGCTCTGCCGTATAAGAGCACCATGCTGATGCTCGTCAAAGGTAACGCTCCATCGTCTCTGTTCATCATGGATCTATAATACACATGTTACAGCACTTCTCCTGTCTGCCTGCAGGGCGGCGCCACGTTCAGACCAGACTGGTGGAGCCCAGAGCCTCGTCCCTGAACAGTGGAGACTGTTTCCTGTTGGTCACTCCTGAACACTGCTTCGTCTGGATCGGAGAGTTTTCCAACGTCATCGAGAGAGCCAAGGTCAGAGCTGCACTCACTCTGGGGTTTTATTTGTGTGAATGAAGAGGCTGCTTTTATTGCACTTTCTAAGATAATTCTTCACAGCAGTGGTTCCCTAATGCCGGGCTTACACTATGCAATATTTTCAATCGTTTCACTCAGCCCCAGCTCAGACTGCTCAGTTGTACATCCAAATCACAACGTTTAAAAGTTCACAGCTCATGATTCTTGTTTTCACACTGTACGAACAACTTCAACAGAGCAAAACCATCACAAGAGGCGACTGGATTTCAAACAGGTTTGATTTTCTTGCGACCTACGATTGTCAATCTTGACCTGCTCATGAGGTATTAATCGGTTCTCATTACCCCGTGTTCTCTACACGAAGCGCGACGCACGATTAAGCCAAAATTCGTCCCGACTCTCACAGGAGTGAAAAATCAGCTCAAAAAGGACCAAAATTTGCACAGTGTTTGTCCGACTTAAGTGAGTGTGGGGCCCTGTTGGCTGCAATAAAACTGCACTAAATACAGAATCATAAAAGGACACTGACTTAGTTTGAAATTAATTTCACTCAGGTCTTATTGCAGTTTTATAAGATAATTATTCACAGCAGTGGCTCCTTAAGTAAGTGTGGGGCCTCTGCAGGGCCACAGAACACAGTAAAAACTCAAGAGTTGAAATTTCAAAGTGAAATATTTCATATTTTTAACACGAAAACCTGTTATTTTAACTATTTGAAAGTTAAATTGGGGTTTGAGTTGGAGTTATTTGCCAGAGTTGATATAATTGAAGTTAATTCAAATTCTATTCGTGTTCATTCAACTCCCTTTAGTGTTAATTTAGCTCCTCCCTCCCACCACTTCCAACTCCGGTGAGAATAGACCAGTTTGAACCAGTTTTGTTCATAATTTCATCTTAAATTAACTCAAATAAAGTGTAAAAATAAAACACCTCTGTGTGTTGTTTCGCCAAATCAGGATAACTCTACAAAGTGTTACCCATTTACTCTGGATTTTGAGGTTAAACAGGAACTTTGGACCAACGTTACTTAATGAACATTTCCAAAAAAATGTCAAATTAACTCTAGAACAGATTGGACTCTTATAAACTCTGAGAAAATGTTAAAAATTGATTCTGTCAGAGTCAATTTTTAATTTTTTTTCATTTATAATTTGTCAAGTTTGAGGGATTGGATACCCAGCACATCCACAACAAGACAGACAAAACAAAATATAACACGCATACAAAAAAATATATAAATAAATAAATAAAAATTAAATAAATAAATAAATAATAATAATAATAATAATAATAAAAAGAGAGAGAGTCAATTTTAATACTCCACTTTTTGCTGGTTTAAATAGAAAAACACATAAAAAGGACTTAGTATTGTAATAAGAGTTATTTTATATCACGTATACAGTTATTTATTAATATCACTATGAAAGCAATTCTCAGGTTATTTTTTTTTTCCCATTTGTGTACCATTTTACTTTCACATCATCAAAGTTGCCCTCTCCTTTTCTCTTTTTAACTTGAGGAGTATTTGTGTTCTTGTGCTGCCTGACACCACAAACTAAAACCACAGTCAAATATTTTGTTAAAGTCATAAAAATGTTGAGTGTTTTTCCTCTTCTCACTCGTCCACAGTGACACAAACCCATCTGCGCCTGACAGAACCACACACACACACACACACACACGACTCGCAGGCCTGTTGTTGTACCTCTGAGCACGACACTTATCTGTTGCTGGTTGAGAAAAGAGAATCGGTGTAAATCCGAGTATCGTTCGTTCATTTGTTTTTTTCAAAATAAAACCAAAAATAAGAAAACAAAGAAACAAAAAAAACAACTATTTTCTTCACTATTTGTCTCCAAAACCAAAAACAAAGTCCTGGTTTGGTCCTGGTTCAGTTCTAGTTTAGTCCTGGTGTAATCCTGGTTTAGTGCTGGTTTAGAACTGGTTCAGTCCTGGTTTAGTCCTGGTTTAGTCCTGGTTTAGTCTTGGTTTAGTCCTGGTTTAGTCCTGGTTTAGAACTGGTTTAGTCCTGGTTCAGTCCTAGTTTAGTCCTGGTTTAGTTCTGGTTCAGTTCTGGTTTAGTCCTGGTTCAGTCCTGGTTTAGTCCTGGTTTAGTCCTGGTTCAGTCCTGGTTTATTCCTGGTTTAGTCCTGGTTTAGTCCTAGTTTAGTCCTAGTTTAGTCCTGGTTTAGTCCTGGTTCAGTTCTGGTTTAGTCCTGGTTTAGTCCTGGTTCAGTTCTGGTTTAGTCCTGGTTCAGTCCTGGTTTAGTCCTGGTTTAGTCCTGGTTTAGTCCTGGTTTAGTCCTTTAGTCCTGGTTTAGTCCCGTTTAGTCCGTTTAGTCCCGGTTTAGTCCCGGTTTAGTCCCGGTTTAGTCCGGTTTAGTTTAGTCCCGGTTTAGTCCCGGTTTAGTCCGGTTTAGTCCGGTTTTAGTCCCGGTTTAGTCCCGGTTTATCCTGGTTTAGTCCTGGTTTAGTCCTGGTTTAGTCCTAGTTTAGTCCTAGTTTAATCCTGGTTTAGTCCTGGTTCAGTTCTGGTTTAGTCCTGGTTTAGTCTGGTTCAGTTCTGGTTTAGTCCTGGTTCAGTCCTGGTTTAGTCCTGGTTTAGTCCCGGTTAGTCCCGGTTTAGTTCTGGTTTAGTCCCGGTTTAGTCCCGTTTAGTCCTGGTTTAGTTCTGGTTTAGTCCTGGTTTAGTCCTAGTTTAGTCCTGGTTTAGTTCTGGTTCAGTCCTAGTTTAGTCCTGGTTTAGTTCTGGTTCAGTTCTGGTTTAGTCCTGGTTTAGTCTGGTTTAGTCCTGGTTTAGTCCTGGTTCAGTCCTGGTTTAATCCTGGTTTAGTCCTGGTTTAGTCCTGGTTTAGTCCTAGTTTAGTCCTAGTTTAATCCTGGTTTAGTCCTGGTTCAGTTCTGGTTTAGTCCTGGTTTAGTCCTGGTTCAGTTCTGGTTTAGTCCTGGTTCAGTCCTGGTTTAGTCCTGGTTTAGTCCTGGTTTAGTCCCGGTTTAGTCCTGGTTTAGTCCCGGTTTAGTCCTGGTTTAGTCCTGGTTTAGTCTTGGTTCAGTGGTTTTGGAGACAAATAATGAAGAAAACAGTTCTTTTTCGTTTACTTATTTTTGGTTTTATTTTGAAAAACGAACGACACACAGATTGAAGAAGACCTCATCTGGTTTAAAAAGAAAACATTTTTATTTATTTATTCTTTTTGCAGTTTAATGGTGATGAAACGGTCTTTCGTTGTTGTGTTTTGTCGTAGGCGATGGACTTGGCCTCGTTCATTCAGTCTCACAAGGACCTGGGCTGCAGAGCGACTCAGGTCCAGTGTCTGGAGGAGGGGGTCGTCTCTCCGGAGGCGCAGCTGTTCTGGAGCCTCCTCGGGGGCCACGCCGCCTACCAGGGTGAGACCCAACACAGACCAGTGTCGGGGAGTAACAGATTACATGTACCAGAGTTAAGTAATCAGAGTACAAATGATGAGTAACTGTATTCAGTTACAGTTACTGTTTCAGTGAGTGGGAATTGGATTACAGTTACTTTGTTGAAGTAAATGGATTACACAGAGGGATTTTACTGTTTTCACATTTTGGGCTAAATCCCTTTTTTTTGTTTTTTTGTTTTGTTTTGTTTTTTAAATTGGAAATTCCACTCATTGCCGGAAAGTAAACCAGGTCTAAACCAGATCTAAACTAGGTCTAAACCAGGTCTAAACCAGGTCTAAACTAGGACTAAACCAGGTCTAAACCAGGACTAAAACCAGGTCTAAACCAGGACTAAACCAGGACTAAACTAGGACTAAACCAGGTCTAAACCAGGTCTAAACCAGGTCTAAACCAGGACTAAACCAGGGTCTAAACTAGACTAAAACCAGGTCTAAACCAGGACTAAAACCAGGTCTAAACCAGGTCTAAACCAGGACTAAACCAGGTCTAAACCAGGTCTAAACCAGGACTAAAACAGGTCTAAACCAGGACTAAAACCAGGTCTAAACCAGGACTAAAACCAGTTCAAAACCAGGAACTCTAAACCAGGTCTAAACCAGGACTAAACCAGGACTAAACTAGGACTAAACCAGGTCTCTAAACTAGGACTAAACAGGTCTAAACCAGGTCTAAACCAGGTCTAAACACCAGGTCTAAACTAGGACTAAAACCAGGTCTAAACCAGGTCTAAACCAGGTAAACTAAACCAGGACTAAAACCAGGTCTAAACCAGGACTAAAACCAGGTCTAAACCAGGACTCTAAACCAGGACTAAACCAGGTCTAAACTAGGACTAAACCAAACCAGGTCTAAACCAGGACTAAAAAACCAGACTAAAACCAGGTCAAAACCAGTAAACAGGGTCTAAACCAGGTAAACCAGGACTAAACTAGGACTACCAGGTCTAAACCAGGTCTAAACTAAAACCAGGTCTAAACTAAACCAGGTCTAAACCAGGTCTAAAAACCAGGTCTAAACCAGGTCTAAACCAGGCTAAACCAGGACTAAAACCATTCAAACCAGGACTAAACTAAAAAACCAGTCTAAACAGGTCTAAACTAGGTCTAAACCAGGTCTAAACAGGACTAAACCAGGTCTAAACCAGGTCTAAACCAGGACTAAAACCAGGTCTAAACCAGGAGGACTAAAACCAGGTCAAAACCAGTAAAACCAGGTCTAAAGGTCTAGGACTAAACCAGGACTAAACTAGACTAAACCAGGTCTAAACCAGGTCTAAACAGGACAAAACAAACCAGACTAAACAGGTCTAAACCAGGATAAAACCAGGTCTAACTAAACTCTAAACCAGGACTAAAACCAGTAAACCAGACTACTAAACAGTCTACCAGTCTAAACCAGGACTAAAACCAGGTCTAAACCAGGACTAAAACCAGTAAAACCAGGACTAAACCAGGTCTAAACCAGGACTAAACCAGGACTAAAACCAGGTCTAAACCAGGAAAACCAGGACTAAACCAGGTCTAAACCAGGTCTAAACCAGGACTAAACCATTAAACCAGGACTAAACCAGGACTCAAAACCAGTCTAAACCAGGACTAAAACCAGTCTAAACCAGGACTAATCTACCAGACTAAACTAAACCAGGTCTAACCAGGTCTAACCAGGCTAAAACCAGGTCTAAACCAGGTCTAAACCAGGACCAGGTCAAACCAGTAAACCAGGTCTAAACTAGAACTAAACCAGCAAACCAGGTCTAACCCAGGACTAAACCAGGTCTAAACCCAGGTCTAAACCAGGACTAAACCAGGTCTAAACCAGGACTAAAACCGTTCAAAACCAGGACTAAACCAGGTCTAAACCAAACCAGGACTAAACCAGGACTAACTAGGACTAAACCAGGTCTAAACCAGGTCTAAACTAGGACTAAAACAGGTCTAAACCAGGACTAACACCAGTCTAAACCAGGACTAAACCAGGCCTAAACAGTCTAAAACAGGATTTAAACAGGACTAAATCCTGCTGTGTGGACGTGTCTCTTCTTCTTCTATCAATAATATTTTTAATTTGGTTCAGTAAAATCTGGACTTTTTATTTTTCTTTTATCAGACAAAACATCTGATGTACGATTTCCTCGTCTTTGCTTCTCTACAGCAAATCAAGTAATCCAAAGTATTCAGATTACATTACTCACTTTAAGTAATTTAATCTGGATTACGTTACAAACTACATTTTGGTGTATGTAATCTGTAATCTGTAGGGGATTACATTTTAAAAGTAAACTTCCCAACACTGTGTATTCAGAACAGTCTGTCCCACCCGGTGATGTCATAACGTCTTCACTTGATCGTTTTAACTCTCGAATGATCAGACGCTGTTGTTGATGTTTTTTGTTTTATTTAATCTGCTTCACTGTGGCGTGTGTTTGTGTCTTCTTCCTCTCCCTCTCATCTTCTTCCTCTTCTCTCCTCCTCTCCCTCCTCTCCTTTTCTCTCTCTCTCTCCCTCCCTCTCTCATCCTCTCTTCCTCTCCTTCTCTGTTTTCTCTCCCTCTCTTCCTCCTCCTCTTCTCTCTCCCCTCTCTCCTCCTTTCTTCTCCTTCTCCTCTCTCCCTCCTTTTCTTTCTCCTCTCTCTTTCCCTCTCTCTCTCTCTCTCTCTCTCTTCTTGCCTCTCCATCCCTCTCTTCCTCCTCCTTTCCTCCTCCCCTCTCTCTTTCCTTCCCTGTTTCTTCATCCCTCTCTTCCTCCTCCTTTCCTCCTCCCCTCTCTCTTTCTTTCCCTGTTTCTTCATCCCTCTCTTCCTCCTCCTTTCCTCCTCCCCTCTCTCTTTCTTTCCCTGTTTCTTCATCCCTCTCTTCCTCCTCCTCCTTTCCTCTCCCCTCTCTCCCTCGTTCTCTCTGCCCCTCTATGCCTCTCTTTCTTCTTCTTCTTTCCTCTCTCTCTCTCTCTCTCTCTCTCTCCAATTGCCTCTCCACCCCTCTCTTCCTCTTCCTCCTTTCCTCCTCCCCTCTCTCTTTCTTTCCCTGTTTCCTCATCCCTCTCTTTCTCTTTCTCACCCCTATCTCTCCCTGCCTCTCCATCCCTCTCTTTCTCCTCCTTTCCCTCTCCCCTCTCTCCCTCATTCTCTCTGTCACTCTCTGCCTTTCTCCTTCTTTCCTCCTCCTTTCCGCCTCTCTTTTCTTCTCTCTCTCTCTCTCTCTTCCCTCCTCCCTCCCTCCCGGCCTCTCCATCCCGCTCTTTCCCCTCTCTCCCTCTCTTCCTCCTCCTTCCTCTCCTCCTCCTCTCTCTCTTGCTCTGCCTCGTTACGTTTCTCTTTCTCCTTCTTTCCTCCTTCTCTTTCTCACCCTTCCACTCTCTCTCTCTCTGCCTCTCCATCCCTCTCTTCCTCCTTGTTTTCGCCTCCTTTCTCTTTCCCTACCTCTCCACCCCTCATTTCCTCCTTTTTTTACTCCTCCCTCTCCCTGCCTCTCCATCCCTCTCTTCTTCATTCCCCCCTCTCCCTCTCCTCCTCTCCCTCTCCTCTCTCTCTTTCCCTCTTTCTTCTCCTCTCGGTCGGTGTGCAGCGGCTGGTCCGCCGGAGGAGGACGAGCACTTTGAGTCGAACATCGTGGAGACCAACTGTATCTTCAGACTGGAGCAGGACAAACTGGTGCCTGAGGACGAGCAGTGGGGGAAGGTTCCACAGTGCTCCCTGCTGGCCACTAAAGAGGTCTGCACTTTTATAATCCGCCAAACGATTTGTCTGGAAGGTTTCACAAACTCATCTAAACTCCCACTTTTACTCTCTGGCTTTTAACACCGCCTGGTCCTTTGTCTATTTTATTTATTTTTATTACATTTTTTAAATTTAATTCTATTATTTTTTACTTTTTTATGCATTTTAACGCTTTTTATTTATTATTTTTATTTATGATTCACTGTCTTTTATTGTATTAATTTGTGCGGCACTTTGGAAACTGTCATGTTTGTAAAATGTGGATTGGATTAAACCTTTCTGTCTTCATGGAAACTAAACCAAACCAAAAGTTACAGGTCAGATCTGATTTTTTTTCTAGGTATTTACTTATTTTTATTTTATTTATTTAGTTTTTTATTTTATTATTCTAGGTATTTTTTTCAAGTTATTTTATTTTTGTTTATTTATTTTATTTTATAATTTATTATTGTAGGTATTTTTTTTTTCTAGATGTTTCATTTTTGTTTATTTATTTTATTTTATATTTCATTATTCTAGGTATTTTTTCTAGTTATTTTATTTTTGTTTATTTATTTTATTTGCTTTATTTTATTTAATATTTTTTTATTCTAGGTATTTTTTTCTAGGTACTTTATTTTTGTTTATTTTATTTTATTTATTTTATTTTGTATTTCATTATTCTAGGTATTTTTTTAGGTATTTAATTTCTTAAATGTATTATATTTTATTTATTTTATTTTTTTTTCTAGGTATTTTACTATGAGGTTTTTTTTTTTTTGGTATTTTTGAGCTATAAAACCACCTGTAATTGAATAAATGTAAGGTAGGTTAGGTTTAATGTAACACTGTGGAACATTCCAGGCAGAGCAATGACATATCCATAGAAACAAGCAGGTGACAGACCTCCAACCGCAAAAGTTACGCAGTGCATCTTTAATGTTGTTCAAATGTCTTTCCTCTCGTGTGCAGGTGCTGGTGTTTGACTTTGGCAGTGAGGTTTACGTGTGGCACGGCAAAGAGGTGACGCTGGCTCAGAGGAAGGTGGCGTTTCAACTCGCCAAACACCTGTGGAACGGAAGCTTCGACTACAGCTGCTGCGACGTCAACCCGCTGGACCCCGGGGGCTGTAACCCGCTCATACCCAGGTACGACCCGTTCACACCCGGGTACGACCCGCTCACACCCGGGTACGACCCGCTCACACCCGGGTACGACCCGCTCACACCCGGTCACGACCCGCTCACACCCTTGTACGACCCGTCACACCCTTGTACGACCCGCTCACACCCTTGTACGACCCGCTCACACCCAGGTACGACCCGCTCACACCCTTGTACGACCCGCTCACACCCTTGTACGACCCGCTCACACCCTTGTACGACCCGCTCACACCCAGGTACGACCCGCTCACACCCTTGTACGACCCGCTCACACCCGACACCCTTGTACGACCCGCTCACACCCGGGTACGACCCGCTCACACCCTTGTACGACCCGCTCACACCCGGTACGACCCGCTCACACCCTTGTACGACCCGCTCACACCCTTGTACGACCCGCTCACACCCGGGTACGACCCGCTCACACCCGGGTACGACCCGCTCACACCCGGGTACGACCCGCTCACACCCGGGTACGACCCGCTCACACCCTTGTACGACCCGCTCACACCCGGGTACGACCCGCTCACACCCGGGTACGACCCGCTCACACCCTTGTACGACCCGCTCACACCCGGGTACGACCCGCTCACACCCTTGTACGACCCGCTCACACCCAGGTACGACCCGCTCACACCCAGGTACGACCCGCTCACACCCTTGTACGACCCGCTCACACCCAGGTACGACCCGCTCACACCCTTGTACGACCCGCTCACACCCAGGTACGACCCGCTCACACCCTTGTACGACCCGCTCACACCCAGGTACGACCCGCTCACACCCTTGTACGACCCGCTCACACCCTTGTACGACCCGCTCACACCCTTGTACGACCCGCTCACACCCTTGTACGACCGCTCACACCCTTGTACGACCCGCTCACACCCTTGTACGACCCGTTCACACCCTTGTACGACCCGTTCACACACCCTTGTACGACCCACTCACACCCAGGTACGACCCGCTCACACCCTTGTACGACCCGCTCACACCCAGGTACGACCCGCTCACACCCTTGTACGACCCGCTCACACCCATGTACGACCCGTTCACACCCTTGTACGACCCGTTCACACCCTTGTACGACCCACTCACACCCAGGTACGACCCGCTCACACCCTTGTACGAACCCTCACACCCAGGTACGACCCGTTCAACACCCAGGTACGACCCGTTCACACCCAGGTACGACCTGCTCACACCCAGGTACGACCCGCTCGTACCCGGGTACGACCCGTTCACACCCTTGTACGACCCGCTCACACCCAGGTACGACCCGCTCGTACCCGGGTATGACCCGCTCACACCCTTGTACGACCCGTTCACGCCCAGGTACGACGACCCGTTCACGCCCAGGTACGACCGACCCGCTCACACCCAGGTACGACCCGCTCACACCCTTGTATGACCGCTCACACCCAGGTATGACCCGCTCGTACCCGGGTACTGTCTCTGTGTAACCAAATCCGATTTTTCCGCCGCTATGTGACTTGTCTCTGATGTTTCGTTGACAGTCTGAAACACCTGGAGCTGAAAACCGTGTGTATGTTTCTGTGTCCTTCAGGAAAGGTCTGGGTCGTCCGGACTGGGCCATTTTTGGGCGTCTGACCGAACACAACGAGACGAGTTTGTTCAAAGAGAAGTTCCTGGACTGGACCGAGCTCAAGTCTCCGACGACGAAGGAGGCGCCAGAACCTGTGCCAGAACTGAAGGTACGTCTGTGTGGAGAAAAGAGTCAAGGATCTGTGTTTGTACTGGAATATTTCACCGTATAAAACAGAAAACTTGCAATAAATCTGCGTGTCATTCATTCAATTTTTTTTTTAAATAAACCCAAAAATAAAAAAACGAAAAAACTAATATTTTCTTCATTATTTGTCTCCAAAACCAAAATGAAAAAATAGATAATGATTTTGTTTTTTCAGTTTTCGATTTTGTGTTTAAATGAATAACGGAAAAAACAGATAACAACCGTTTCCGTGAATTAAACTACAATTCCGGACTGAACCAGGACTGAACCAGGACTAAACCAGGACTGAACAAGTACTAGACCAGGGACTGACCAAGGACTAGACTAGGGACTGAACCAGGTCTAAACCAGGTCTAAACCAGGTCTGAACCAGGTCTAAACCAGGACTAAACCAGGTCTAAACCAGGTCTAAACCAGAACTGAACCAGGACTAAACCAGAACTAAACTGGTCTCGGTCCTGACCTGAGACCGGGACTGAGACTGGAACTAAGACTGAGACTGGGACTGAGACTGGGACCATACTAGGACCGAGACCAGATTGGGATTGAGGCCGAGATTGAGACCAGGACTGAGACTGGGACCAGGTTTAGTCCTAGTTTAGACCTGGTTAAGTCATGGTTCAATCCTGGTCCAGTCCTGGTCCAGTCCTGGTCCAGTCCTGGTTCAGTCCTGATTTAGACCTGGATTAGACTTGGTTTAGTCCTGGTTTAGTCCTGGTCCAGTCCTGGTTTAGTCTTGGCGATCGTCTCTGCAGTTGTGGCATGTATATATTTATAATCTGCTAATGACACAGCATAGGTTCAGTCCTGGTTTAGTCCTGGTTTAGTCCTGGTTTAGTCCTGGTTTAGTCCTGGACTACTGGGCTGTTGGACCAGTGGGCTGACCCAGATTCATCACGGGTTTGGGCAGGTAACGGGTGAAATTTTAACAGATCTGGACAAGATTTAACTCTGATATAATCACAGGTTAACGCTTTTTGTCGCAGGTTTAAAAATCATTTAACTCTTTCCCCCCTGGACGCCGACTAGGAACAACCCATACATGTGTTACTAGGGCTACACCCTTAGAGCATAAGTGCATAAAAGAAAACAGACTTCCACGAGTGATTATAAATGATTTTTACACTCATGAACTTAATTGTAACACAGACATATTTGTATCTCTGGAAACCTTAGACTCTGAACTCTTCATTTATGGATGTTTAAATGTGATTCAACTCATTTACAGGTTTATAACAGCTCACTGAAAATGAGAGTTTACCTGGTCAGGTGCAAACTCGAAAACAAAAAACTACATTCAGCATCTGATATCTGCATGTTCTGAGAACTATATTCATAAAAAAATAAAAAATATACTTTGTCAAAGTATTTAAACAGATTTCATATCACCAGATACAGTATAGCCAAGTGTGCACCTGTTTTTACCTGTTGTTCACCTGTGTGCACCTAATTAATTTTTTTCCATTTAACTTATTCAACTCATTTAACTTATTCAACTTATTTTATTTATTCAACTAATTTAGCTTATTAAATAATATAAAAATATATAATAATAAAACTCTTCCCCGTCAGTGTGTGTCCAGTATTTGTCATCTTGTTTATTTTCTCGTGTGCAGAGCTCCACATAAGCGTTTTTTCTCTAGCGATTCTGTCAAACATCGCATCTTGGAAAAAAAGACTGAAATATTTTAAAGGACTGGCCTGGGCAACATCCAGATTTCAGGGTAATTTTGGTTCATAATCGAGTATAAAGCTCAGATAGTTTGTTCGGACATCGCAGGACTCCACACAGACGCATCAGCGGCATTCTCACCTTCTCCCCGAAAGTCCGTCGCTGTCGCTGTTTTCCACTTTATAATCAACTTCAACATCATCACTTTGAAATCTATAAAAGTCACTTTCTCTAAACTTATCCATAAAATACGTCCGCTCCTCATTATTTCTAAAACTGTGCGCCGCAGCGCCGCGATCTTTCCATTGCACGTGTTTCGTGTTGTGTTTTTTCCGGAAGCTACCATCGTCACTATTTCGATTAACTTCGGAAAAAATCGGCGAAAACATATCCTTGAATCCTATTGGTCAGTCTAGTGTCGGTTGTAGTGGCTCCACCGATCACAGTCTCTGTTTAAATGTGAAAAACCGAGCCATTTCTAAAGGTCGTCAAATCTCGTCTTTAGTGATACGGCGGAGGAGTCAAAAGTCGTCATTAAGGGTTCAGGGGGGTCGTCAAATGTCGTCTTCATGGGGGAAAGAGTTAAGACCAAAAAAAAATAATCCTGTAGTCTTTCGGTCTTAGGCGCGTCTGCCTCGTCTGGTCCTCTGGTTCTGACCCTCGCTCCGGTGTTTCCTCTCAGTCCCCTCAGGAGGCTCCAGGTCGGGGCTGCAGGCCGTACGACGCCGGCCTGATGCTGCCCGTGCTCCAGTCCTCGGTGCAGACGGTCCTGGACGGGCTGAACGTGGGCCGGGGCTACGGGCCGGTGGAGACCGAGGACCACATGAGGACCCTGGAGATCTCCACCGTGTCCGTGGACGTGTGGCACATCCTGGAGTTCGACTACAGCCGCCTGCCCAGACAGAGCATCGGCCAGTTCCACGAGGGAGACGCCTACGTGGTCAAGTGGAAGTACATGGTCAGCACCACAGGTAAAGACCCAGAACCAGGACTAAACCAGGACTGAACCAGGACTAAAGCAGGACTAATCCAGGACTAAACAAGGACTAATCCAGGACTAAACCAGGACTAGGACTAAACAGGACTAAACCAGGACTAAGGAAAAGGACTAAACAAGGACTAAACCAGGACTAAACCAGGACTGAACCAGGACTAAAGCAGGACTAATCCAGGACTAAACAAGGACTAATCCAGGACTAAACCAGGACTGAACCAGGACTAAAAAGGACTAAACCAGGACTGAACCAGGACTAAACAAGGACTAAACAAGGACTAAACCAGGACTAAACCAGGACTAAACAAGGACTAAACAAGGACTAAACCAGGACTGAACCAGGACTAAAAACAGACTAAACAAGGACTAATCCAGGACTAAACAAGGATTAATCCAGGACTAAACAAGGATTAATCCAGGACTAAAGCAGGACTGAACCAGGACTAAAACAGGACTAAACAAGGACTAATCCAGGACTAAACAAGGACTAAACCAGGACTAAACCAGGACTAAACAAGGACTAAACAAGGACTAAACCAGGACTGAACCAGGACTAAAAAAGGACTAAACAAGGACTAATCCAGGACTAAAGCAGGAATAAACCAGGACTCAACCAGGATTAAACCAGGACTAAAACATGACGAAACGATGACTAAACCAGGACTAAAACAGTCCCAAACCAGGACTAAACCAGGACTAAAACAGTCCCAAACCAGGACTAAACCAGGACTAAAGTAGGACTAAACCAGGATTAAAGTGGGACTAAACCAGGGCTAAACCAGGACTAAACCAGGGCTAAACCAGGTCTAAACCAGGTCTAAACCAGGACTAAACCAGGACTAAACCAGGGCTAAACCAGGACTGAACCAGGACTAAACCAGGACTAAACCACAGCTAAACCAGACAGGACTGAACCAGGACTAAACCAGGACTAAACCAGGACTAAAACCAGGACTGGAAGAAGGACTGAACCAGAACTAAACCAGGACTAAACCCGGACTAAACCAGGATGATAACAGGAAAAAACTGGTCTAACAATTAAACTAGGTCTAAACCAGGACCAGGAACAGGATCTTCCAGAGTAGCTTCTTCCTCGGTCCAGACCAGTACAAAGGTGTTTAAAGCTTAACCTATTTTCCTAAACATCGTTCCGTTTTGTTTGTCCCGCAGTCGGACGCAGGACAAACCCGGAGGCGCGCAGCTCGGGTCCGGGGAAGGAGAAGTGCTGCTACTTCTTCTGGCAGGGACGCCACTCCAACGTGAGCGAGAAGGGCACGTCCGCTCTGATGACCGTGGAGCTGGACCAGGAGAGAGGAGGACAGGTAAAACTCCCGCTCACCTCGCTCTGCTCAACGCCATAAACCTACAAACACGTTAAACTCTCACGTCTGACGCTTTTAACGCCGTGTTTTTAAAGGTTGTATGGAGGATTTTTTTTTTTGTTTCAAATTGTCAATGAAAGTTTAAAATACCATGACGGAGACGCAGCAGCTTTGTAATTATGATGACTAAAAAAAAAAAAAGAATGAAAATCTATCAACTGTGGACGTAGTGAGGCCAGATAAACATCAGCCAATAGAAAACAAGGCTCCCTCATTTTCTATTGGCTGTTAGGTTGCCAATCAAACTCCTACATTTCTAGTGTAACTGACTCGTCGCTGGGATTACGTGGTTTATGCAGCGGTTCTTAGAGGCTTTTTCAAACCTCGCAATTCGCACAAATTTTGTTGCGATGGCGGACGAGAATCCACGACCGGTTCACCGCCAAAGAAAGTCCGTTTTTGAGGTCGCTGAAAGAAGAAGAGAAGGAGAAAAGGAGCGAAGACAAACTGAGGTGATTCTTGGAGATTCCTTCCAGCGACGGCGCGACTGAAGCAGACGAAAGGTCTAAAATCTGACACATCGGTCGCTAAAATATTTCTAGACAGGTCACTTCAACAGTAATTCTGAACGTGCACCAGCTGTGAACAAGCGTGATTTCTAGAGTAAAGAGGCGGGAGGAGGTGTTTCTACTGAGGCTGTGGAGGAGGGAGGCGGTGTGACGCATGCACAACATTTGAAAAAGGACTGTCGCTGTATTTCTTTTCCCTTAAAAAATCCTCTTTACAACCTTTAAGGTCCAAGTGCAGCAGGGCAAAGAGCCGCCGTGTTTCCTCCAGTGCTTCAACGGAGGGATGATCGTTCACGCCGGAAAGAGAGAGGAAGAAGAGGAGAACACACAGAGTAACTACGCTAGATTTATTCTCTTCAAAACATTTCAGTAAAAAAAGTAGAATAATTTAAAGCACACACATTTAGAGTGTTGAATTTAAAAGGAGGACATGTAGTTCTAGGAAGGATTAACTGGAAGTACATTTATGTGGCTCTGTTTTCTAAATTATTGTATTTTATATTTTATTTTGCCCTCTAAATTAAATTAATTTAAATTAAAACCTGTAATAGTGCTGCTCGATTATGGAAAAAATCATTATCACGATTATTTTGGTCAATATTAAAATAACGATAATTGAAATAATTATTTTTTTAGTTACACAATGCATTTATTCAGCAATTCTCTCTCTAAAAACACATTGTTATTGATCATTTACGCAAAACTTTCAAATTGCAAATAAATATAGATCAGTTTTACGATGTATGAAACATAAAATGAATAATATAAAATAAACTTTGAACATGAAATAAGGCACAGAAAAACATAAATCTATCCAAAATAAACTATACATTCCAGCTATTCTACAATCTGTATAAATAAAATAAATATACTTATTTATATTAAAAATATCCCATAATACAAGTCCTGACTTTTGCTGGCACGTAAATCGTTTCAACTTAATTATATGAGTTTGGAGATCGAAATCGCGCTCAAAATTCAATTAATTGCACAGATTTTAACCTGTTATATCAAGAAATTAAAAATAATTTAATCCAAATTAATAATAAAAAAAACTGCTAAATGAACATGATGATAACAAAAACAATATGGTAATATGGTAAACCAATAAAATTAAATGTGATAAATGAATATGACAATAAAAAAGAAGGACAGACATAAGAATGATGCTTGATCAAAAGAATAAAAAGGCAGTCAAGAAATTATAGGTAAAAGAGAAAGAAAACTATATACAGTATATAGGCATGAAAACATGTTATTATAAATGATTATGATGATTTTTTATTTTTTTTTTTTTTTTTTTTTGTAATTGTGATTTACACATTAAGAAAATAAAAAAATAAACTTACAAAAAAAAAAAAGACAGATCTGTTTCCCGAGATCTAATCCAGTCCAGCTTTATTTTTGTAGCACATTTTATTAACACAAAGTCTCCAAAGTGCTGCACAGAGTAGACATGATATAAATTAACACATTAAATAAAAATAAAGCATAAAATAAATAAATAATCAAATCAATAAAAAACTTAAAAAAATACTAAAATTAGCAAATTAAAAAATAACAAATAAAATATAGATATAAGATGAGTTTTTCAAATTAAATATTGCTTTTACTGACTTTAATGTTCATTTTAGTTTTAACAAATTAATAAAGAAAATAATTAATTAGAAAAACACGAGAGATAAAGTTATTGGAAGTGTTTTAATTTTGTGTCACTACATCATAAAACATTATTTATCTCGAATTCGTCTTTTATATTCATTTCGGAAGCTCAGACGTTGCTCTTTTATTTTTATTGATTCTGTATTTCTTGTTCGTTGCAGGCGAGTGGCGTCTGTACTGCGTGCGCGGCGAGGTGCCAGCGGAGGGCCACCTGCTGGAGGTCCCGTGTCACTGCAGCAGCCTGCGCTCCAGAGCCTCCATGATCCTCCTGAACATCAACAGAGCCTGCATGTTCCTGTGGCACGGCTGTAAGACGCAGCTCCACACCCGCAGCGTGGGCACCAGGGCGGCGCAGCGCATCAAAGAACAGTACGCACCCTCTCAGCGCGCTTTACATGTTTGTCGTTAAAGGATATTTCTTTCAAATCGCTCGTCTGAAACTGGGTGTAATTCGGTCAACGTGAGCAGTGTTGTGAAGGTGACTTTTAAAATGTAATCCCCTACAGATTACAGATTACACACACCAAAATGTAGTTTGTAACGGAATCCATTAAATTACTTAAAGTGAGTAATGTAATCTGAATACTTTGGATTACTTGATTTGCTGTAGAGAAACAAAGACGAGGAAATCTTCACATAAGAAGTTTTGTCTGATAAAAGAAAATAAAAAGCCCAGACTTTACTGAACCAAATTAAAAATATTATTGATAGAAAACGAGGAAACACGTCCACACAGCAGGATTTAGTCCTGTTAAATCCTGTTTTAGACCTGGTTTAGTCCTGGTTTAGTCCTGGTTTTAGTCCTGGTTTAGTCCTGGTTTTAGTCCTGGTTTAAGTTTGGAAAGAGACAAGTCTTCATTTGTGCTGCTCTGGTGGGAGGGGCCACGTACAGAGACACTGGAGACGCTGCTCTGCTCAGCACCGCAGGAAATTAACAATATTTTAATAGTATAATAATAGTGTAACAATAATAATAATAAATAATAGTTTAATAATTGAAATATTTTTGTAGAAAATCAGCTGAGGGCCAGATTATAGGTCTTGGAGGGCCGGATCTGGCCCCCGGGCCGTATGTTTGACACCTGTGGCATAATGGGTGCAATGTTGGTCTTAATTTTCATTTAAGTCAGGCATGTCCAAATTATGGCCCGGGGGCCAAATGCGGCGCTCGGACATATTTTTCTTGGCCCTCAGGTTTCCAGGTAAACTTGGCCCAAATGACCTTGCATCAATTAAAAAGTAATTTTTTGCTACAAGTTTTTTGAAAATCTACCTTGATAAAGCAAATATTTAATATTTCGTGTGTAGTTTAAGGATTTTAGCATGAATAAAAACTGATGGCTCATTCTAACATGATAAACATGCACATATTTCAATTATTCCCTGTACTGAGCACCAGTCTACGGTCCTCGATCGTCCTCTGCTTCATCTGTGTTTAGAAATGTGGCCCTTGACGAAAAAAGTTTGGACACCCCTGATTTAAGTGGTCTTACAAAGGTCTTTAAAAAGTCTTAAATTTGGGGTAGTCAAAGTCTTGGGTGGAGTCTGGTGCTGTGATTACGACAGTGAAAAACACACTTTGACTTTAATTTGTTGTTGTTGTTGTTGTTGTTGTTGTTGTTGTTGTGACAGGTGCCCCCTAGAGGCCGGTCTCCACAGCAGCAGTAAAGTGACGATTCATGAGTGTGACGAGGGGATGGAGCCGCCTGGATTCTGGGAGGCGCTGGGCAGGAAAGACCGTAAAGCCTACGACTGTATGCTGCAAGGTAAAAAGAGTTTATCTGTAACCTGACGTCTGTTTACTGTCACTATTCCCAAACCTCACACGTGTTTTCTGATTTCTCTGATGCTTCATACTCATCTTCATATTCTAATCTCGTGTCTCTTCTGTTTTTCTCAGACCCGGGTAAATTTAACTTCACGCCGCGGCTCTTCCAGCTCAGCAGTTCGTCCGGAGAGTTTGTGGCGCAGGAGTTTTTCCATCCGTCCAGAGCTCCAGACCTCATCAGCTCTTTGCCTTTCCTGCAGGAGGATCTGTACAACGTGCCCCAGCCCGGTCAGTGCTCCCCCGCCTCACACCACACTGATCTGTGAGCCTCTGTAGAGTGTTATCAAAAATATCACGTTATAAAGTTAACGCAAAACTATTTTAACAGTGTAATTTTTTTATTTTTTTATCACGACATTAACGCTCTTTAGTCCAATGAGGTTCATTTGGTCTTCCGATATTTTATGTTATTAGGTTCTTTTTACAGACCAAGAGTTTGTTTTCGTACCTGACAGTTTCGACTGCTCTTCCTCAGAGTCACGTGACATTTCTGTGACGTGTCCGGTCAGCTGATTTATACAGGTTTTCACAGGACATCAGGCATCACGTGACGACTCTGAGGAAGAGCGTTAGTGATCAGTCGAAACTGTCAGGAATGAAAACAAACTCTTGGTCTGTAAAAAGAACCTAATAACATATATTAACGCTCTTTGTAGTCATACAGTCTATGTAGTCACCTAGTTTTTTTCAAAAGCTCTGGCCACTGCTGTAACATTAGAAAAACTGCAGGATCCGGCCGTAAACCAGAAACAAAACCATTTGTACGAAACTGAGAAGTCCCAGGTGGAGGAGGTGGGACAAAGCACAGCACGACCGCCTATGTACGAGCACACGCGCAATTTTACTATGTGCGTGTGCGTTATTTTACGAAGAAAACACGAAATAAACTCCGTTCCAAAACATACGGCGAATCCACGTTGACCTTTGATAAGGACTGTTGACAGAGACACAAGTTTTACAGGCTCTTCTTCTCCTCCTCCCTCCCTGTCCTCACTCCTCCTCACTGTTATTATCTCCATAAACTGTCAGAGGAGCAGGACTCACATCTGTCTCACTGTTTAATAGATATTTCTGCCGCTGGACTTATTTTCTCAGCTAAAAGCGGTCGCTCTGCAGAGTTTGGGGCAGATAAACACAGCCACACTTACTGGAGATCACTGAATGTCTCAAGAGAACTTCTCGAGGTCACAGCACATTATTTCACCCACTGTGGGAACTTCAGTCGCTTGACTGTTCTGAAAACAGAAGAGACACTTCACTCACGTTGTGGCAGAGCACTTTATGAAAGTGGAACATGAGAGTGAAACATCCAACACAACAGACAGTTCTTATGGTTTGCAATAAAGAAACATTTGCACAAAATGTATCCAGTTTTCTATGTTGGTAAGAGTTTTAAAATGATGATTCAAGGGACAAAAATGTGCGATTAATTTGCGATTAATCGTGAGTTAACTATGACATTCAAGAGATTAATCATGATTAAATATTTTAATCGACTGACAGTAGATATCTCTGTAGATTAATTACTAACAGCTCAGCAAGTTAGTAAAACACACAAGGCTGTGACAGGAGCCTCCACCTTTATTATTTATTATATTATAAGCAGTGTTGGGAACGTTACTTTTAAAATGTAATCCCCTACAGATTACAGATTACACACCCCAAAATGTAGTTTGTAACATAATCCATTAAATCACTTAAGGTGAGTAATGTAATCTGAATACTTTGGATTACTTGATTTGCTGTAGAGAAGCAAAGACGAGGAAATCTTCACATAAGATGTTTTGTCTGATAAAAGAAAATAAAAAGCCCAGATTTTACTGAACCAAATTAAAAATATTATTGATAGAAGAAGAAGAGACACGTTCACACAGCAGGATTTAGTCCTGTTAAATCCTGTTTTAGTCCTGGTTTAGACCTGGTTAAGATTTAGTTTACATCTAGTTTAGACCTGGTTTAGTCCTGATTTAGTCCTGGTTTAGACCTGGTTTAGTCTTGGTTTAGTCCTGGTTTAGACCTGGTTTAAATCTAGTTTAGACCTGGTTTAGTCTTGATTTAGACCTGGTTTAGACCTGGTTTAGTCTTGATTTAGTCCTGGTTTAGACCTGGTTTAGATCTAGTTTAGACCTCGTTTTAGTCCTGGTTTAGTCCTGGTTTAGACCTGGTTTAGTCTTGATTTAGTCCTGGTTTAGACCTGGTTTAGATCTAGTTTAGACCTCGTTTTAGTCCTGGTTTAGTCCTGGTTTAGACCTGGTTTAGTCTTGATTTAGTCCTGGTTTAGACCTGGTTTAGTTTCTGGCAATGAGTGGAATTAAAAAGAAAAAAAAAAAAAAGGGGGGGTGGGGATTTAGCCCAAAATGTGAAAACAGGAAAATCCCGCCGTGTAATCCATTTATTTCAGTAAAGTAACTGTAATCCAATTCCCACTCACTGAAACAGTAACTGTAACCGAATACAGTTACTCATCATTTGTACTCTGATTACTCCGGTACATGTAATCTGTTACTCCCCAACACTGATTATAACAGTGCGTAATATAATATAATATAATATAATATAATCTAGTGCCCAACACGTGTAGCGGCATCATCACACTGACACTGAGCACTTTGGGAAACTAAAAGAAACATCAGAGGAGACTGAGAGACAAGATACGTGGAGCTCCAAAGCCCCATGTGTCAGGTGTGTCAGGTGCGTCAGGTGCGTCAGGTGCGTCAGGTGTAAGTTTGCAGACTGAGGAGAGGCTCTGTCATTGGCTGTGCTTATCTTCCCAAAGATCCTGCAGACCCCCGATGATGTTTATTTGAATATGATTAGTCGAAGCGTCAAAAGTGTGAAACAAATCACGAAAAAGAACTTTGTCACATCCAGTTGAGAGAAAAGCACAGACACCTTCCCCGCACAGAGAGGCCCCCTTCAGCACGTTTTTCACAAACTAAATAGTCCGTATCGACGCTAAAACAGGCTCAAGTCTGTCGCCATTTGTTCCGGTTCGTTTGGGAGCTTCACCTTTGGCTCCGCTCAAACCTCCGTGCTGCTCTGTGATTGGACGCACCTGCAGGGCCAAAACGTTTACCGTATTTTCCAGGCTATTAGACACGTTCTTAAGCCTCTAACCTCATCAAAAAACGGCCACGCGCCACAATCCAGAGCGCCCCATACACGAATCCACTCAGTAAACTACAAAACCGCAAACACATACACAGTGTTGGGAAGTTTACTTTTAAAATGTAATCCCCTACAGATTACAGATTACATACCCCAAAATGTAGTTTGTAACGTAATCCATTAAATTACTTAAAGTGAGTAATGTAATCTGATTACTTTGGATTACTTGATTTGCTGTAGAGAAGCAAAGACAAGGATGATTTTGTTCTGGTTTAGACCTGGTTTTAGACCTGTTTTAGATCTTGTTTAGACCTGGTTTTAGTCCTGGTTTAGACCTGGTTTTAGACCTGTTTTAGATCTTGTTTAGACCTGGTTTTAGTCCTGGTTTAGTCCTGGTTTAGACCTGGTTTTAGACCTGTTTTAGATCTTGTTTAGACCTGGTTTTAGTCCTGGTTTAGTCCTGGTTTAGACCTGGTTTTAGACCTGTTTTAGATCTTGTTTAGATCTAGTTTAAATCTAGTTTAGTTTCTGGCAATGATTGGAATTACCGAAAAAAAAAAAAAAAAAGAAAAAAAAGGGGGAATAGCCCAAAATATGAAAACAGGAAAATACCGCCGTGTAATCCATTTATTTCAGTAAAGTAACTGTAATCCAATTACCACTCACTGAAACAGTAACTGTAACTGAAAACAGTTACTCATAATTTGTACTCTGATTACGTAACTCCGGTACATGTAATCTGTTACTCCCCAACACTGCACACACGGAGCAGACACAGACACACTCATCACTCCACGCCGACGAGGAACGGAACGGAGGAACGAACCGAAAAAGCGAGCACGACGTGCCGCTTCTAGACACGACTGAACAACTGAGTCACTGCGAACACGCCGACAATCCGTTGGTTCCCAGACACACCCTCCCTACACGCCACAACTGAACAAAGCCCAGAGTCACTGTGAACGAACAAACAAACAAAACCACTCACCCATCACACTGTTGTGTTTCCTTTAAAGTCCCACACGGTTTATTTGTGAAAAAAGTTCAAAAATAGACCATTTAATGACAGTGCGTCTTATAATCCAGAGCGGAAAATACGGTAAATAAGTATCAGAGGATTCATCTTGGAGTGCAGGGTCAGGTCAGAGCAGCTACCGTCTAAAACACAGGTGTCAAACATATGGCCCGGGGGCCAGATCCGGCCCTCCAAGACCTTTAATCTGGCCCTCGGCTGATTTTCTACAAAAATATTTCAATTATTAAACTATTATTTATCATTATTATTATTATTATTGTTATACTATTATTATACTATTAAAATATTGTAAATTTTCTGTGGTGTTTATCACAGCAGCGTCTCCAGCGTCTCTGTACGTGGCCCCTCCCACCAGAGCAGCACAAATGAAGACTTGTCTCTTTCCAAACGCTCTTAAAGGACGATCGTTTTGACTGTTGACCGTGACACCCTCATCAAAAAAATGTCCAACATGAGAAAAGTGGAGCCG